GGCGCTTGTAAATAAAGTTGAATTAGTGCCAAAACATATTCGCTTGATCGCCGACCATTCGTCATATTATTCCTGTATCACACCGTTTAGTACTTTATCATGATCAATGTTTAACATCAAATTATAAAAAGCATTAATAATTCAATAGATTGTTGCGTTTTGATCTGATTTTCTACACATAACTTAATATAATCGTGCCGTATTTTAGTTAATGTCGTAATTTATGGGGACATACGAATGAATAATATATTTTTGACAACCCTATTAATGAACTTAAACAACGTTTAAATTAAACTTCGGTTAACCCGTTTGTAAGTAGGTAGGTACATATTAGGAAATTGTAAAGATTCAAAGTGTTTGTCATTTTGTAGTAAATCTATATTGATATTATAAATGTGGAAGTTTGTGCGTATGGATGTATATGGATCTGGATAAAATTTGGCACAGAGATAGATTATAGTCTATTATAGAGATCATCTCGGAAAAATTTACGGTTCCCGTGGGCTAGGTTTGTTTTTTTTTCCTAGAGGCTAACCCGAACGAAGCGAGGGTGAGCCTCTTTTTTTTTAACGTTGGGAAATGCATTTACGCACGAATTGTGGGACTCACCGGCGTAATAAAGCCAGTACTACCCACTAAAACCCAACAAAACCTTCCCCCGTCTAAATGGGGCGTCGCAGGATCGCTTACGCATTCAACTACGATGCCCCGACGGCAGGTCTACCGAAGCAGACCATCACAACCATGGGGTTGCTCCAAGGTCCACTCTGCTATCAGAGAAGTACCTGGAGCAACCCGCATGGTACGCCACCCACCAAAGAGGGCCACCTCCCACCACACACCGAAGTGGGCCACCTCCCTGTGCGTTTTTTGGCTTCGCGCCCGGTTGGATTGCCGGGCACTACTGAGCCCTCCCACCACGACAAGGTGAACTCACGTTGGGGGGGGGCGGAGAGGGTGAGCCTCTAGTCTATGCATACTTGTAGTTGAATTATTTTTTATAATACTAACAAAAAGTTTATTTTTATAACACAGTAATATGAATAAAAAATACATAAATAGCAACGTTTTTCTTATTTATTTTCACTATATAAGGTAAGGGCCTATAAGGTCGGAATAGTAATTTAAAAATTAATTTCACATCGATATAACTTATTATTTAAGTAATTTTCCATGCATTGATTATTTATTTATTTATTTGAATAATATATTACTAAAGTATTGTTTTTTATACTTTATTCGCTTTCAAAGTATAATAAACTAGCGAATTGCGATGAAATATGATTAGAAACATTTATGGTTGCCTTCCGAGATACCAGAGTAAATTATTCTCTTTGCATCGAAACTATCCCTTACGAGTGCGCGAGCGCATGTACTGTTCGCAAAAAACACAGCTAATGGAAACAGTAAATCATTGTGAAATTTACTACACACAACTACTCTGAGATTTATAGAGTATGGTAAAGATTGGTTTGCGGTAATGATCCATCTGTCAAAAATTGTAAAGCAATTCTCATGTTTACTACAACATAATACAAGTGTTTTTTGCATGAACGTACCTTTGATATATTGTGGAATATTTCTTTTGCGACTCGCAAAACAATGACGTTTTGTGGCATGAGTACAAATTTATGGTCATTTTGCCATATGAGCTTATTAAACTCGAGTGTTACTTGTTCGAAGAATTTAAAATGAAAATAAATATAATTTTAAATCAGCACGGTTGTTTTACTACTACAGAAAATAAGACGTATCGTTTTCTCGCCAATGCTCAGTAAGAATTTGATATTTGATTTTAACTATTTGTTATATATAATGTTCATATAATACCCATTAAAATATGGCATTTGTAATAGTGCCAATATATCGGAAGCTCTAATAATATATTAAAAAACATGATAAACATCCAATTTCACGTCATAAAAACAATTTCTGACCATGAAATTATGTATGAATACTTTCTTTCGATAAACTTTTATGGCAAGAAAGCCTCATGCCATATACACTGTCGTATTTCCTGCCGAGTCACTTAAAACCTTATCTAAACTAGCCCTTTATGATTCAGCATTCCTGTTTTTATAAATAATACTAGCACTGCCCGCTGCTCCGCCCGCGTTTAGATGACCAAAAACCAAATTCTTAAGTTTAACATATTAGTATACTCTTACATTGCAGTTTTTGTATTTTCTCTCAGAAATTAGATATTTTCTCGCGATAAAAAGTATCCTATATGTTTACCCGTATAACCAGCTATCACAATACCAAATTTCATCAAAATCCCTCCAGTGGTTTTGCTGTGATGCGGTAACAGACAGACAGACAAAAATTCTAAAAACCATAGATTCGGCCTCTATCGTGTTTATATCAATAAGATTTTATTATATGTATAGATTTTGTATCGAACAGGTTCTCAATTATATGTAAAAAAAGGCATATGAGAATGATGTTTACAAACATTATGAATTAGTTTAAAAGTTTGGTACTCCAAACTTTTAAACTAATTCAACTTCGTATACAGATTTACATTCGCCATCATGACTGCTTTTAAGCTATTGACAGAAAATATCCGAAACGTTTAACGTCTGTGATGAAACATGTGATGAGTGTTTATAAAAAATAGATAATTTATAGTTATTTATTTGTATAAATATGTATATAATAATTTATTTTTATAATATTGTAATAGAACAAATTCTTATTTTATTTTATATACTAGTTATACATTTATCGGTAGGTATTATTATCATCTATACATATAATAAAAGTGTAACTGACCGTTGTCTGTACAAGGAAGATATTTGAGAAAAACTATTGTTGTGGGTCTTTATTAATGCAATAGAAACCAAAATAATGATTTTTATTTTTTTTGTTTGTTTGTGCCTTTGTGCGCGCTAATCTCAGAAACGGCTTAACCGATTTGGGCGCGGTTTTCACAAATATACTGTGATAAAGTTCACTTAACATTAGTATTTGTTTTATTTCAATCGGTTCATATATTTAATTCAACCCGAGCGAAGAGACGGTAAGTCGCTAGTTTTATATATTAAAACTATTTATATATTATATATTAAAAGTACATTAAAAGTTTTATATAATCCATAAATAGTATTAATAAATATGTATTAGTATATTTTACTTGTAATGTAATTGTTTATTATTCACACTCTCACAGTTTGATATTTCTTGCACGTAAGGGATGCCTGGAAGAAATCGCTGTTTTAGCGATATAGCCGCCTCTTGTATACTATTACCTATTCTACTTTTCTTATTTACAAATAAGGTCTCAATAAAGAGTCATATTATTATTTGTAACACAAAATCATTGCTGGGGAATTACTTAAAAAAACAACACCATCTTAAAAATCACTTATAAATAACTATTCCATACTAACATACGGTTTTCTGAAATATATGTATATGTTACATGTATCCTGTTTAACCTAATTAGTAATAACTTGCTCATTAAAAAAATGTATTAAAACCAATGTTAATATAATTCAATTTTTTTAATTGGCGAAGATGCCGTGTAACATAAATAATACCAATATAATACTCGTACCAATACTAGCGACTCAGCCTCGGGTTCGTCCCTAGGTTGATTGCTCATACAAACTTTCATCCCCATTTTCACCTCCTTAAGGGATGATTTCCGGGATAAAAAGTATTATATGTCCTTCCCAGGGTCTCAAACTATCTTCTTACCAAAATTCATTTAAATCGGTTCAGTAGATACAGATATAAAAAGCTGAAGTTGATGTGAGCACTATCGATCGATTTATATTCGATATTTTTGGATCTACACAGTTGATTGGACAAAATCTTATTGCAATTTATAGCCTACTAATTGTAGAAAGAGATGATTTAACATGAATAAACTACGCGAGCGAAGCCACGGGCATAGGCTGTTGTGAAAAATCTCCTACAGAGACCACTTCACTCTAGGATAAATAGTAGACTTTGTCATCAAAGAAGGTTAAACTACGAAAACCAGTGTCGTATTTACTACATTACTAAGGATTTAAGGCTTGGCTTGAAATTAAAATAAAGCCCCCTTCAATTAAATAATCAGATTTTGTAGTTTTAGCTTTCTATTACATTATGCCGTCCAAAGATAAAGGATTGTCATGATTATCTGACGGTTGCGAACTAGATTGAACACGTGCGTTTTAAGCCACAAACTGAAACGAGTGTTAAAATTAATGGTAATTTTAAGAAATTCATAAATTATAGATTGAAGAGAAAAAGTTATAAAAATATCTTTATATTTGTTCTTTTGTTTTTAATAGTATTTTTAAAAGGTGATTTTTTGAAGTTATACTTTTTTGGCACGTTTTGAAAAATTATGAGAGTAAAATTTTTACGATGCGCGAGCACACCGACAGCCAAAAAGCGACATGATGAATTTTAATTCCTTTTACAAATAGAGAGTTATAAGATGCGGGATGAAATGTGTAGCTATTTTTGTTCTGTTACGCCAAATAACTTCTTACGTGCGTAGGTATATAAGTACACACACACATTTTTTTAATTTTACCACTCCCTAAACTCGAGCCTAAATACGAGTACAGAACACATAAGCAGGAGAATAAATGTTTTACATAAAACTAGCTAGACTATCTTCTTTTTTTTCTTTCTATTCTATTTTTTGAAGCAAAAACTCCGGTACGGGCTCTAGTTATGTTTAATTTGTGGTCGGTGATAGATCCGATTAGGAATTGATGGTAAGAAAACCTAGCCTATTTCAGTCGTCTTAGCCTTCATATTTGCTGTAAATTGATTAAAAAAAATTGAGATTGATTGATTGATCCAGTTTAACGTTATATACAAATTAATGATAAATACAGTACCTATTCAAGCAAGCGGAAGCCTAGGTATAGCCCATCAGCTTTTCTTGTTCATTCGTATATTTTGCAGCCACCAGACAAACAACTGAATGGGCAATTAAAGCAAAATATACATACATACAAAATTTCGCATTTATATTAGTAGTCAAATTATTAATGTTATTATTATTTTGCAGAAACGTAAACATCTTCGCTACCAGACTGGTCTTGCTGATAGTCTTGAATGCAGCGGGTGCAGGGTTCGCCGCTCCCAGTGTTCTGGTCACTAGACCAGTGAGTCGACTGTCAGTGGAATGGCTTCCTATGGACAACCAGACTTTGTACAAACTGGAGGAAGGCGAAAGTCGAACGTAAGTAAATCTATCGTCGAATCTGTACATTACATATTTTTTGGAAAATCTTATTAAAATAATAATTATTATCGATACAGAGGCCGAATCTATAGTTTTTAGAATTTTTGTCTGTCTGTCTGCATCATAAGAAAACTACTGAACAGATTTTGTTGGAATTTGGTATGATGATAGCTGGTTATCTGCGTCAACATATAGGATACTTTCTACTGCAGGAAAATATCTCATCTCTGAGAAATCTATACTAAACCTTAAAACATAACTAGTTCCTTTATAAAATTTTATAATTGCTGGCTTAAAAATAAACTTAATGTAATTTATATAACTGTAAGATATTTTTGTCATAAAGTGCGTCTTATATCTATAAAATAAAACATTATTCTATGCAGTATTTCGAAGAATGATAGCTAAATATGTATTGTAACCAAGTTATTTAGGCAAGATTTCTTTCTACACTCATTGATAAATACAAATTTAAAAAATCGTAGCTATTGAAATGACAACAATCTTTGTGCCATAGAATTATAATGTCATTATCATATATTTTTATTCATTTTATATTCTTTAAAGTTTATAGAAATACACCTTCTCTAAGCTCTCTTATTTTTGCAGTAATTCGGCTTTTGGAATATTTACCTACATGATGATGATAAAATCTGGTTCAGTTTTGAAGAGATAGTTGTCGTTCATGTACTTCTTTGAGATACCTACATAATATCATGTCTGACCCATACAATTCGTAGCAGAATACCTGAGTCTTACATGTACTATATAATAACATTAGGTATCATTTATTGCACTAAAAATGTTCGATTGAATATAATATGATATATGGTGATAAACGATATCCAGTACCAAAATGGTGGCTCCTAAAATTCTCACCGGTCGTGTCCCGTCAAAATCTGAGTATAAAAATATAGGAAAGGAATATAATATCTGGCAGCTGGCTATCAGTTAAATTGGCCGTCGCGGTTGAAATTGGTCAGTAAGTGGACAAAAGATGGCTAATATTTTAGTATTAATTTGACTGTTTTTTTACGTTTTGGTCTTCCTTCTAATTACATTATTATAGATTATAATTAATTTATACATAGAGTTATAACAATAATTAATTAATAAAAAGTAATTTTAAATTGTTAAGTACTTTTGAAATCCACAGTCTTTGAAGATTAAGAAGATTGCTTTGCGAATGATTTTACAGTATACCGATAACTGTGACCGCAGCGGAGTGGAACGATCTATCTTTGCGCCTAAGGAAAATATAAATACTCTCGTTAGAGATTTACAGTCCTTGAAATACAATTTAGAAGAAATTAATAGAAGGATAGATGGATAGTAGAAGGATAAAAATAATTTATGTTGTTGTAATTACTAGTGGGGTGTCCTAAATTTATTTATATGTTGTTTTAAAAAAATCTAAGTATTGACTTACCCAGGCTTCTCTCGGGTTGTCTCTCTAGTTGTCTTTTGTTACAACGTTCTGAGTGGAAATCAAACCTGTGACTTCCGGCATAGTCCCAGATACTACCATTATGCTATACAATGATATTACAGAAGACTTTGAATAATATATTTTATATGCTAAATTTATGATTCTAACCTACTTTTATCTACATAAATAGGCCAGCACATATTTCAAAGAACATATACAATTGACAATTTATTTATCTCAAAACAAATTAGTACTTGACAAATCTATAGTTACTTTGGATTTCTTCCAAGATCATTTATATGCATTCATTGATATCTAAACAGTGCTTCGAAGGATAAATTGAGTAATCACAAGAAGCTTACATGTAGTAAGTACCCGTGTTTATCCGTATTAATATTATAAATGTGATAGTTTGTGAGTATGGATGTTTGTTACTCTTTCACGCCAGAACAAATAAACGGATCTGGATGAAATTTAGCACAGAGATAGATTATAGTCTGGAATAACATATAGGCTACTTTTTATACCGGAATAGTGTACGGCTCCCGTGGGATAGGTTTGTTTTTGTTTTCCGGTGAGCGGCTAGTATGATATACTTAAAAAATGCCGTAAAATATTATGCTAGCTAGCTTTCGCCCGCGGTTCTTCACGTAGTAGATATATTTATGTATAATAACTACGCTACTTAGGGCTTAGGATAATGTTAGATAGCCGTTAAACTCTATATTATAATGAAAAGTAAATCTTGTCTGCTTGTTTATATATTTTTTTCACTTAAACCGCTGAATAGATTGAATTCAATTGCTTTGTTAATAATTTCAAAACGTGCTAGTTGAGCACAGATTACTTCGGCAATGACACGTAGAAACGTAGAACGTGGAGAAGACATAAAGGAGATCAGTCTGTATAGATTTTGATGACATTTGAAAAGGACATACATTAAATTATAATGAAATTAAATTATAATAGGAACCGATATAAGTTATCAATTATCCAAGGCCGCGAGTAATATCTACTATGCTATAAGATACAAATATCATTTATCTGATCACATTGGAAGTTTAAATAAACAAAAATATTCATTCATATAGATATTAGTATAGATTCTGTAATAATAAGAATAGCTACATTCAATCTCGGTATTTTTATCGACTTCCGGTATAGCTATCGCAGTCGATATTGCAAATTAAAGCCTAAGAGAAGCATGGTTAAATTGCTAATATAAGTATATAGTTTTTTTTTTACTTAACCATTTTTCTGGTTTTACTCTAGAGGCGAGCTATGAATGCCTATTACACGCGTATCTTGGTCTAGGTTATAAGGCAAGAGTAATTATAGTGTACTTGAGCAGCAAATAAGTGCTACTATGGGGCTGTTATTGCAAAAATGGGGTTAATTTATGTTATGTATTCCGTTTTAATATTAGTTGTAATAAAATTAATTTAATAGAAAAAAACAATTTGTGTATTAAAGTTATACCGGTGTAAGCGTGAATGGGCTGACTTGACCGGGGAAGTACCTTTCACACAACTACCTTTCACATAACTTACCCTTTTAGGGAATATTGACGTAAAATTGTAGTACCAGTATATATATTACATTACATATCTATGGTAAATACTTAGCCTAGTACAGACAATCTATAATAAAATTAAAGTGTCTTTTTGTAATGTCAAAAAACAGCTTTTTACTAAATGCATATGAAATTACATACGGTACTTAGAAGAAAAACATCATTGTTAAAAATTTTATCAGTCTGTATGTCTGTTTGTTCCGACTAATCTCCGAAACTGCTGGACTGATTTTGATGGGACTTTCACTGGTACATAATTGATGTTATAAGGAGTAACTTAGGCTACTTTTATTTATGAAAAATTATTAGCGAGCGATGCGAGGGTAAGTCAGTTACTAGTTGTAAATAAATATATAAACAAAATTATTTTAGAAAAAAAACTCCGTGACTCAAACAAATCAAATGAGTTAAAACTCGATTTTATTGATTTCCACCACCTTCTGTTTTCATCACCAGATCAGCTCGATGGCATCAAATTACTCTTATTATATCATTGTATTTCACATACTAGTTTCAAATGTTTCAAATACGATGTATAGAGTGCATAAAAATCATTGGTTTCCACCTTAGCGAAAAGAATAAAAATGTTCGTACATTGTTATTTGCGGTACAACGCCATGAATGATTTAATTATAAAACGTCGAATTTGATAGTAAATGAAATTTTTATTACCAAAGTAATATAATCTCTAAGAGATAAAACTTTTTTAAATAAAGACAAAAAAAACTTACTTTGATAATATAGTAACAAGATTAGACAAAAAGGTGTCAATTTGTTTTAGTTTGGAGCTCAACACAACACTAATATCACAATCAGTGGTCTACATCACGGTTAGCCCTTGTTCGAGGCATTTGCATTGGGCTTTCTATAGAGGGCCAGCTGGTAGCGGTGACAGTAAGTAGTTTTTTATTAAGAAAATAGATTTATAACTTTATACAGGGGGATAATTTAATAATAATATGGAATTTGCAACAGGATTTTTGAAGGTTTGATTTAAAAATCGCAGAGCTTGTTGCCCTGCCCCTTTTCGTATGCCGCCCGGAATAATTGTCCCTCTGCCCTCCTCACTCCCCCTCACGCTAAATGTTGACCCGAGAAATAAGTTATAACTACACAAAATTTAGTTAAAATCGGTTCAGTACTTTTTGCGTAAAACTCACACATCGATTTCGCTAAGTTAATGTTTTATTATATTTATAGAAAAGAACTTGTCTATGTTTTGGGTTCAAGCCCCGTACAAGAGGCACTTGCAATTTATTACTGCAAGTCGGATATATACAAGTTTTAAAATATGCTTTGAGATTTGGTGAAAATATTATACTCTATCTGAACAATCTATACACATCATCGTCGTTGGTCGATGGTCGTTGATATACATATACCTAGTTCTAGATATTTATTTGCATTAAACAAATGCTAAAAGGATAACATACTATTTATTCTACTTTGATACAAAAGGGATAGAATGAAGCTATAAGTTATCTTTGTAATGTAATAAGTCTAATTTTTTAATACTAATGAAGTATCCAAAGGGTTATCTAAGTGTTAATTTTACTTCTGAGACTGTTTCAAATTAAGAGAAAATCGTTATAAATTGAAATGTATTGGAATCATTAATTTAGATTTTTTAGACACTTTAATTTCTAAAATATACTATGTCAAATTTTATTAAATTAAGAAAATAAATAAATATAATGAGTTTTTAACTAAAAAACGATACTTCGACTTTAATATCACTTTGAATTAATTATAATTTTTCCCCTGGGATGGTATTTTTTTGAATAGCCTATTTATTAAAAAATATTTACGAAAATCTATTGACAACTGCCAAAGATATTGAGTAATAATATACATAAAACACTAGCTATCGAATTGAATACTTTCTTTTTAAAATTGGTCAAGAATTCGGTAATTTGATTAAGAGTAATCAAAATTTGCAAAAGAATTAAAATAGAAGAAGATTGTCATAACGATATATTTTATATTGGAACCATAGTTTAAAGTAACATTAAAGAATAATAAGCAGTATATCTGGATGGATTGATGTATACATTTTTAATGAAAAGCATCAAAAATTGCATGAAATAGTTGAGTTGATCAGAAGTCTAAGGTACCTTTCCTGGCAAAGTTAAACCTTGGCCAGGTGGCATTTAGAAGATAATTAATATGTTATTATTTTTTAATAGAAACTAAATAATATAATGAGAAAATAACTAAAAGTAGCATAAGAAATCCTGTTAATATTACTAGTCACATATAATAAAATGGTAACTAAGCATAATCTATACACTAAATATTTTTTGGAAAATCTTATTGAAATAAACATTATTATCGATACAGAGGCTGAATCTATAGTTTTTAGAATTTTTGTCTGTCTGTCTGTTACCGCATCACAGAAAAACCACTAGAGGGATTTTGATGAAATTTGGTATGATGATAGCTGGTTATCCGGGTCAACATATAGGATACTTTTTACCGCGGGAAAATATCTCATTTCTGAGAAAAACTGCAATGTAAGAGTATACTAACTGTAAAACCTAGGAATTTGCTTTTTGGTTATCTGTAACTAATTATTTGTTACACGTAACTAATTTCAATATATTTGCAGCACAGCTTCAGTTGGTCCAGGAACATGGGGGTGGAGAAATGCATACGATTACGTTCCTAATATCTAAACAAGATAGATATGTTTTACAGGTAATTTGTTTTATTTTAAGATACGTAGACAATTAATAAAAGTTTATTTTTATAGAAGATAAATAGAAAAGAGTTGATAGTATAGTATCTCTCTCTCTCTCTTTTGGCGTCTGTAAAAGAAATAATGTAAATTAAATTAATCAATTATGGCCGTAAATATGTAGAACGCTTAGAAAGCTCAATCTTTCATATTTTTAAATAGTTTTTTAGTTTCACACATTTAAAAAACGTGGATATATAGGATCATTTGTATGTACATCTGATTGTTACAGTCAGTCATATTCTTCAAGTCCACTGAATGAAAATATAACAATATTTATTGTGTAAATACTTCCTCTATATATGTATGTATAGAGGTGGTGCCCAATTACATATTTATAATTTTGGGGATTTATTTTAATCTATAGGTACATATAATAAAATTCTGAGTCGAATCTGTATATTAAATATTTTTTTGCAAAATCTTATTGAAACAGTCATTATTATCGATACAGTAGCCGAATTAATAGCTTTTAGATTTTTTTCTCAGTTTGTCTGTCTGGGAACGCATCACGAGAAAACTACTGGACAGATTTTGATGAAATTTGGTATGATGATAGCTGGTTATCCGGGTCAACATATACTTTTTGATGCGGCAAAATATCTCATCTCTGAGAAGACCATACTAAACGTTAAAACGTAATGCGCCGCTAGTCTTAAACATATAAATACACGAAAAGAAAATTAATATTATACAATACCTAACATCAATTGTTTCTTTTGAAGCTTTAATCATTGTTTCTTAAAACAATAAAAACGATATAATTTAATATAATATCATTCGAAGAAAAGGTTTAGAGATTACAAAGGGAGCAGATAAATTCATTAAAAAGAGTTCAAAGGTCATTGAAAATGAAAGATAATCAACGTTGAAATAGAAAATCTTTCATTTGGGAAAAATAATATCGAAAACCAGGGTTACAAAGTCAACTGAAAATCCAAATCTGTTATAAATTGCCTTTATCAAAAGTAAGAGCCTTGAAATCAAATTTCATTCTACTATGGCATAGCATTATTTATATGTCTAATGCATTAATTTAAATGATTTTGTTATTATAGCGTGACATACATACTAATATTATAAATTTGAAAGTGTGTTTGTTTGTTTGTCCTTCTTTCACGTCGAAATGGTGTGACGGATTGTGGTAATTTTTGGGTGACGATAGTTGGAGGGCTGGAGAGTGACATAGGCTACTTTTTACCGCGGAAGATTATCTCATCCACACGGGAAAACACGTTATAATACAACCCAAAAAAAATATTTATGATCAGAATTACTTGACACTTGGTATTAACGCTCTTCAATACAATTAAATAAATACGTGCTTTAGCATTTATCGAAAGTTATCCCGTAAGGGGATAAAATAGGGGATGAAAGTTTGTCGGGGCGTCGTAGTTGAATGCGTAAGCGATCCTGCGACGCCCCATTAAGACGGGGGAAGGCTTTGTTGGGTTTTAGTGGGTAGTACTGGCTTTACCGGTGAGTCCCACACCTCGTGCGTAAATGCATTTTCCAACGTTAAAAAAAAAAAAAAAAAGGGGATGAAAGTTTGTATGAAACCTACCTTTTTTAGAGTGTTTTTTGTGGTTTTAACGCGAGTGAAGCCGCGGGTTTTGCTAGTTACGTATATTTTTACTATACGTCATTTTCAACATGATTGTCACATCTTACGTGAAGGAAAACATCGTGAGGAAAGTTTCATGACTGAGAGAACAAAGCAAGTTTTCGAAGGACATACTAAGTCCGCCAACAGCATGGTGGACTATGATCTGATTCCCCTCGTATTAAAGGAAGGCCTGCACCCAGCAGTGGGACATTAAAAAGGACTTCCACTTTGAATTGAATAATATCAGCGTATTTCTAGTTTATTTCTAATATTCTATCACCATACGTTATTATACCCAAAATAAAGATGACATCTTAATTCGTATGAAAGATTGTCAGCTCGTCTTTAGTGTAAAAGAATAAATACTAAATTCAATTGTGAGAATATTAAAATATACATTAAAACAATACAGCACATACAATTACACGACAAAGATATCACGTAGTATACTTACAAGAACACACGTACCTATTAAGTTATTCATTTTTGAAGACGATCGAAAATCGTTCTAAAATAGGTATTGCATAATACACGTACATAAAGAAGCTGTAGGCACAAATACACGCCCACATCCTTTTAATACTTTCGTATTTTTTGATTAAGATCTTTTTTAAACAAAACTATCTTTTCGGATTTTTTCGCTTATTTATTTTGATTTTTGGTTCCCGACGTTTCGAATGCTTTACAGCAATCATGGTCACGAGAGAGACTGAGGTGTTAGATGTCTCAAAGCTATTTTATAGTAGTTACAGACAGCCTACTCACAATAACAAAATGAAATCAAAAAATTGAAAAATGGCACCAATTTTTTAATATTTTTTAATACAATTTTTTAACCATCAAAATATAAATAAAATCTAAGAAAAGATCTTTTTTATTAGCCTTTTTTTATTAATTACGTTTTTAATAGATATTTGTAAAAAGTAAAAAATGGACATTAAAATGGCGTACAATTAAAAAAAATGCACGTTTTTTATTTCTATTTCAATCATATAGATAGAAATAATCTAATATTGCTGCAACAGCCATAAAGCCATATACCTGAATTAAGAACTAGCTTTTATTACAACCAGTGGTCTAAAATCAACCAAAACCCCTTATTATTGATATCACTAAAACTCTTCAACAAATAAAACGGCAAACAGAGGAGAAAAAATGATCTGTTTTGTCTTTGCCTATTTATATATAGATTATGGTATAATCCCGTTTCACATCATAAAAATTATTAGCGGCCATGAAGGCTAAATTTTTTTTATTACATTTTCAGTTATCGTCATCTAAAGATGGCGCAGCAGCTGTTAGCGTGCGTGGAGAGGCATCACGTCTCGTGCGCATGCGCCTACGCGTTAGATCTAAGAAACGTTTGTCGGCCAATTGGGATCCTAGGTAAGAAATCGATATGTACAGCCAATTATCTAACATAAAATTATCTTTTTTATATGTTTTTTTCATTTTTTCTCTGTGTGTTTATAAAGAAAAGAGTCGTCTATTGAGTACACTTTATGCACCTTTCTGCTTTCTGTTAACTTGTATCCTACTTCTAGCGGTTGCCTGTAAGAGATCACTTTTAGTGATAAGGCCGCCTTTGCACATTTCTTTAAATGATTTTTTTTTGTATGTATCATTTTTATTTTTGTGTGCAATTTTAAATAAAGTTTTGTTCGTGGTTGTATACCTTGAGTGAATTTGTTATGAATATATTCTAGATTGACTATTGTTTATTATCTTGACTACCAGATAAGCAAATTCGGCCAAAAGTTGTAATTTTATGATGGTCTCCTGACCGATTCCGGCCACGGCAGCTAATCTCATTGAGACTAGCCAACTGCGCATAAGATATTATAGTGCACAATTAGTAGTTCCTGAGATTAGCGCGTTCAAACAAACAAACAGTCTCTTAATAATATTAATATAGATTTCTTATCTAAATCGCTAATAGCTCGAGGTAAATGAAGCTTAAATTACAAAGAATCTACAAGCAAACCCCAGAGATGAAAGCTTGTTTATTTTTTTTAACAGGCGACATATGCTCACTGTATATAATAATAACGGTAATAAACATTCTAATATAAAAACCTGCAAGTGGAATAACTCCGTTATCCATAACTCTCCCAGGCCATAAATCCGCGCTGTCCGTTCGTTCCTTCTTCACAAGAACAAGACGTATTGATCAATTTATGATACACCTTATTTGGTTGATTCGATATAAGTTTATAGTGTCGCAATCTTTTTGTAAAAGCTACGACGATCGATCGGTAACTAACTGTATGTGGTGTGGGATCTTGTTAAAGCTCAAGTAAATGAAAATATTTGATTTTTCATGTTTTTATTGAGTTTTGTATAGATTTAAACGGTTTTTTTGTTGGGAAATTACTGTTACATGTTCTCATATTGTGTAGGTCCTTACGTAAATGCTATTATTAAGTTATAGACATTTCTCTTATAATACGAGGTTTTTGGTTTAATGGTAAAAAATACCGCTATAAAACTTAAAAATTAGTACTCATATTAAAAAAAATAGTTAGACGACTTTTGGGCTATACCCAATACATATATATATTTATATGGTTTCTGACGTTAACATTTATAATATTAGTAAGAATATTATAGTAAGATAAGATAAAAATTAAAATAAGATGATATTGGGTTTAGCCGAATTTCTTTCAATTGTGTAAATCGTACAGCCTTAGACGAAGTCCTAATGCCTATATTTATTTGAATGAAGTATTTTATTTAACTATTGACCTAATAAATGCACGTTTCATAATAATACATAGTATACCTACCTTTCTCTCCTACATATTTAATATTCAATCGATCGACATTCCAAGCCCTTGTTTTACACTTATCTTTTGCTTTTTTATCATACCTGATGTTTTATAGTTATTTTTTGTCATAAAAACTTCCCTCGCAACAGCATAGTGGGCACGAAACATTGAAACTGTTTTAATTGTATACGATCACGGACCAATACTGCCTCCGCATCCACATTCCTTTCTATACTAACGTTTGTAAGAAGTGGCTCAGTTAACTAAAAGTTAATTTTATGTAAAAAAAATAATTAATAATAATTAATATATATATAGAATACTTTGGAGTAAATGTGTGGAATTACTATATGTTGATACTCACGTAGAATAAGACCTTAATTATTGTATTGCAATATTGTCCATATTATTTAATATTATAAATGTGAAAGCTTGTGAGTATGTTTGGATGTTTGTTACTCTTTCACGCCAGAACGGCTGAACGGATCTGGATGACATTTAGCACAGAGATAGATTATAGTCTAGAATAACGCATAGGCTACTTTTTATTCCGTAAAAATGTACGGTTCCCGTGGGATGATTTGTTTCTGTTTTCCTAGAAGTGAACCCAAGCGAAGCTAGGGCGAGCCGCTAGTAAATTAATATTATATTTAAAAAAAGCAACTGTTAAGTTTGCTGCTGAGTTTGTTCTCAGCAGAACTACCTTTCCAGACGGTGGTAGATATTATTCACGGACATACATATTGACATTTAATTTAAAATACAAATTAACGATTCAAAAGTGCTTGTAAAACTCTATTTGAATAAAGTATAGTTTGATATGTTTTGAATGAAAAAATATATATTAAATAAACTTAAGTTTAATTAGAATTTAGTTTTAAATGAACAGTTAAACAAATAAAATAGAAATATAAAACTCGAATAAGAGTTCTTGTTTTTGGAAGTGATCTATATATAAAGTTACTAACGCAGGCAAATCTGCAGCTAATGTCTAATGTTTTCATATCTTAAATCAAAATTGATAATCATAACAATGTTCTCTAAATGGCACAGACATATTGGACATATGACTCTTGTCTGAACTTGAGAGCTAGGTGTTAAAGAGTATCCGGAAATGGCGGAAGTTCCCAAAGGAAATACAGCCTCATAAGTTTAAGCAAATGAGGAAAACATAGAGATTCAAATTTTTCCTTTTTTTAATCATTTTAATAATATCATGAAAGCCACAGTATTTAACGTACAATTCTACGTATTTAACTCTATTTAAAACTAGTAATAAAATCTAAAAAAAACAGCCCCTAATTTTACACAAAGACATCCCTAAATAAATAAGCTTACCAAAAGCTTATCTTCTGAACAAAATAAATAAGTATAAAGTAAAAGTAAACACTTCTTTTAACCTTGAATTATATAGAACGGCGTTTAAAAATCTAAATTCACAACACCTGTTTCAATCTATACATAAAATAAAATTGTAACTAAGCCGAATCTGTACATTAGATATTTTTTGGAAAATCTTATTAGATACACATTATTATTGATACAGAGGCCGAATCTATAGTTTTTAGAATTTTTGTCTGTCTGTGTGTCTGTCTGTCTGTTACCGCATCACAAGAAAACTACTGGAAGGATTTTGATGTAATTTAGTATGGTGATAGCTGGTTATCCGGGTCAACATATAGGATACTTTTTACCGCGGGAAAATATCTAATTTCTGAGAAAAAATACAAAAACTGTAATGTAAGAGTATATTAAAATGTAAAATCTAAGAATTTGATTTTTGTTCATCTGAACGCGGGCGGAGCCGCGGGCAAAGCTAGTAAAACATGCAACACATTTCGTCTATCTTTTCATCGGTGAGTAATAAAATCTATTAAAATTTACACAGTCAATAAAAATATATTAGCGATGCAGAACTAAAACTATCTAAGCTAATTTTATACTCGCATAAATTATATAAGTAAAATAAAATAAAGTAAAGAAACACACCGATGTTAGGTGCTATAAAGATAATTAACCACGTAACGAGTTTCTACACTTGTATTTCAAATTGCCAATATAAGACGTCTCTACTATTTGTAGTGAGCGCTACTGGGATAGTACACGATAAATAGAAATAAACAGTCCGCAAAGGCAAGCTTCATTCCTCCAAGTTTTTGTTCCTAATGCACTTTTATACAAATATAACCCTTATATGTTATAACGTAATGCAAAAATTACGCTGCAATTTATACCTTTAAACTTTATCTAGAATTTTGTTGTTCAAATCTGAGCTTTATGTTTATTGAAGTTGAATACAATTTCGTATAAGCGAAATATGTTTCAGAGCTGTCAATGAGCTTATAATAAATTAGCTAGTGACACTTTTGTTTATTATACAGAAATATAGATTTATTTTAAATACTAATTTTAAGCTCTACTGTGGCTAGTGGATCATTTTACAGTTCTCGAACCATAAATCTGGGTATAATGCAACTTCTTTATGATCTAACTATATCATTATACTTGGTCTATTCATTCTATTGAAATTGATTTAGAATACTCGCCTTTTAATATCTTTGCCCATATAAGGTCTGAAGTTTACATTTTGTTTGCAAAGTTGCGCAAATGGCACTAAATTAAAATTTTGCTTACAATACATATTTGTATTGCCATTTGTTAATTTTCACGTATAATACACGTCTCTTAATAATACGCTGACATGGAATAACTGGTAGCAGACGGAAAAACAGCTGCTTCTAGAATGAAACATTGAACAAGAGTTCTTTATGTAGAAGCTTAGTTGCTTGCCTTGATTACTAACTAATAGAACTATCCTACCCGACAACTAAGGACAGATTAGCGACCCATCCCACTTAAAGTGGGATAGAGCTAGGAAGAAGAAGAAGAAGAATAAAACTTTCTTATATTTACGCGAATATTTGACATTTCAAATAAAATTATTATTCTTAACTATTTATATTACACATAGAACAATTATGTGGATTAAATAATTAATATTATATTTTGTATTTTTTCTTTATGGTTATAAATATAATAATGGGAACACTAAATATAGATTACTAATTAATATTCTTAAAATTGTAATAATTATAATGATAACTGCATTAAATAAATAATATTCCATATTCAATTATAAAACTAATTAAAATTATAAAAATGTTTTAAGATATAAAATATTAGAAGGTAATTGGTGCAATTTTCATTTTGTTAATTGTGGGTAGGCTGTCTGTAACAACTATACCTTCGAGACATGTAACACCTCAGTCTCTCCCGTGACCATGGATGCTGTAAAGCATTCAAAACGTCGGGAACCAAAAATCAAAATAAATCCGCGAAATAATCCGAAAAGATAGTTTTATTTAAAAAGAAGAATAAGACAAGGAGAGCTTCTTAAAAATAGAAATAACATAAGATTGAATAATAGCAACAGCAGATTCTAAAATTAATAATAAAATTTGAATTAAAATTAAAAATATTAATAAATAATTATATATATTTGTTCCTGTATTACTTAAAAGAGTTAATAATAAATGACCAGCAATTATATTTGCTGTTAATCGAACAGCTAAAGTTAAAAGCTATGGAAAGATTTTTGAATTCTGATTAGTCCACATATTCATATCCTTAGATGTTGATGAAATCGTGGCTTTTGTACATGAAAATTTAATTATCTTAAAAGTACAGACTAAGTCTTTTTAGCGCTATCTTAACTCTATTTATCACTATGTTAACGCAGCCTTAAAAACTAGCAGTAGTCTAAGAAGTTGATGTAATATTTATTATTGTACTAGCAACTCACCCTCGCTTGGCTCGCATACTTATTTTTTTCAAAACTAATTTTCTATAGAGTTACTGAGTAAAATAATAAAGAAAGACACAAGTCAATTCTAATTTTGCTATCTCCACACAAAAAATCACGCCAATCCATCGCACTGTTTCGACGTGAAAGAAGGACAAACAAACACAGTTTTACATTTATAACATCAAAGTATGGAGTGTGGATATTATATTGATAAGATACCTTAGAAAATTGTTCTGATAATATAGAAACATTGTTGCATCGTTTAATAAAAACGAATGAAGCGGTCATTCGATGTAGAATCTCGTAGCTTTTACTGTCACGGCAAATCCTCTTTTTATCAATAGTAGAACGTATTAATTAATATAATGGCGGCCTGTTAATTGTAATTTTTTTATAAAAAAAGTAATTATTTCGATGCCACGGTAAGGAATGTGTGATATAATAAGGAGCTTTTAATTGCTGCGTTATCACTTTAAGTAGAGACTGGATTTTACTTAATTTGGAGTGTTATTCTGTAAATTATTAGCGATTAATATTTTTAACTAGTATTGCCCGCGGCTCCGCCCGCATTCAGATGACCAAAAACCAAATTCTTAGGTTTTACATTTTAGTATACTCTTACATTGCAGTTTTTATATTTTTTCTCAGAAATGAGACATTTTCCCGCGGTAAAAAGTATCCTATATGTTGACCCGGATAACCAGCTATTATCATATCACATTTGATCAAAATCCCTCCAGTGGTTTTTCTGTGATGCGGTAACAGACAGACACACAAAAATTCTAAAAACTATAGATTCGGCCTCTGTGTCGATAATAAAATATTTAATGTACAGATTCGGCTTAGTTACAAATTTATTATATGTATAGATTATATCTATACGAGTACATAGTGTAAAACAAAGTCTGAGTCTGTCGCTGTCTGCATGTGCGTTTCTCCGCTTACTTCTTCTTAACCACGTAACGCATTTTGATACAAATCATTCCGTATCACCGTATAAATAATCTATACTAAAACTGTTTGTTTGTATGCGCTTAGCTCAGGAACTACTAATCCGATTTGAAAAATTATTTTCGCATTAGATAACCTGTTTATTGCATAAGGCTATAGGCTATAATATATCATATAGGATATAGTCTATCTATTCCATACTACGTTTGTAAATATTTTGTACCAAATGCCTGAGCCTAAACGTTTTTTAAAAAAAAACTGTTTTAATATGTCATTATGGCTAACGCTGACAAAATGTTTAGAGATTCTGCAAAATAATATGCTAGAAAATAGTAGGCATTAAAAAAGCTTACTCAAAATTCCGCGATAACATATTTCTTTCTGCTAATATACGCTCATAATAACCATTTTAACGAAATAAAACGTAGCGAGAGATGCAATAAGTAGCTATTAGTACATGTTTTTATATTTTCGACGTTTAAATATTTCTTTTTTTATAGATTTTTAAAGTTTTACAGTAGGTATTTTAGTTGAATTAAAATAATATACAATAAAATACAATACAAACAGTTTACAAGGTTAGATAATTTCCAAGTATTATTCACACATTTTTCTATATTTTTTGGTATATCTATTAAAAATCTTATGTCCAAAAGTCGATTTAAAAGCATTAAATTATTAAGCAAAATGATCAGAATAAGTCATCTTCGGGCAAGTTTTTTATACAATGTTAAGTAAGTTTCTATAAATGTAAAAGTAACATTGACTTTAATGCAATTGAATAGAATTTTTCAAAACTCTTTACTTGAGACTAAGCGTAACTTGACGATTTCAGTTTTACAACCATATAAAAACAGATGAATACCTCTATAATAGCTATATAATTATATAAAAGTTTCTAAAGACTGTTTTTTCTACAATGACCAATTAAAATAAGTATGGAATGAAAAGCTTAGAAAGCTTTCAAAAGAAAGTCAGAACGAAACAATAATATTAATTATTAAGCAATTATTCGTATGTATGTTATTCATAGAACTCGTCCCACCAGAGTATGAGAGTGACAGGAATAGAGAGTGCACGTTGTGTCTGCGCGTACACTTGTGCACTATAATATCTCCTGCGCAGTTGGCTAGTCTCAATGAGATTGGCCGCCGTGGCCGAAATCGGTCAGGAGAACATCATTCATAGAACTACAATGTTTAACTTTCTAAGATTACTTTAAAGGGATTTTAATTAAAAAACCCTCTAAAGTATTAGTCCCTTAAGAAGCACCTGGGTACGTACCCGAGCGAAGTGCAGACAAGTCCCTACTTTAGTAACAAAACCCACGATTTTGCGTAAATAGGTTCGTATAACATCTTAGTTCCCAAAGTGGTCCATGTGGAACCCCAGGGGTCCACGGGAGACTCGACGGGGGCCTACGGGGGACGGAATCTTCACATTTTTTGTCGAGTTTTGGAAATATGGTAGAAATGTAGCTGCAGGGAGTCCACCAGATCTAGCTAAATTTTGAAAGTGGTCTATGAGAAAAAAAGTCTGGGAAACTCTGGACACTCACTTTAACACCATACTATATGTGTACAATGTATATTTTAATAATATTTTTTAACCTTAGTTAACTATTTCAGTCCCATAGACCCACAAGCCACGACATACTGTGTGGTTGCATCTTATAGGAAGAACTATACGTCACTATGTGCGGCCCAATATGACATTCGGCTGCGCCGTTCAGAAAAACGTTTCAATTCCTACGAGGACCAGTCAAATGAAACTGATAGAATCAAGGAAAATGATACAAGGATAGCTGAAGCTAATGAGCTGGATAATGATAGTTTTAATATTTTCGAGGAAAATTTTAAGAGTATTTATAGAAGAAAGAAGTTTGGTAAGTTCATCATAAGGTCTTTTGAAACGTACATACATATTAAACATGTAATAATTGAAAAGCTAAAAAGTATAAGAATTTTAGACTGTCTATTTGGGTATTACTCAAGAACTTATGCAAAATTTCTTGGTTGAGTTCAAAAACTAAGGTTATCAATTCAGATATTCGATTTTTGTGTGTATGTGTTACTTTTGCCATTTGTGAACCGATTTCCCAGACTACTTTTTAATGAATACGCTTTATACATATTTTCAAGAAGAAATCTCACCCTGGATGGTATTTTTAACCGATTTCCAAAAACGTGGAGGTTCTCAATTCGTCGGAATCTTTTTTTTATGTATGTTCACCGATTACTCGAAGACGCGTGAACCTATTTGGAAAATTTTTGTTTTGTTTGAAAGGGTATACTTCCCAGGTGGTCCCATATAAGATTTATCGAAATCGGTCGAGCGGTTTTAAAAAAAATCAACAATAAATATTTTTTTAAATAAATTGTTTAATCGAACATGTTATTAAAAAGTTTCTTCCTACAAATTACCTGCTTATTACGTCTACACTAAAAATATAAAAATAAAAAGTTAAAAAAAAACCGACTTCCAGGCACTAAAATGTAAAAAATAACTAAACGGGGGTTATCATTTAGAATAGATACCTAATCAGATATTTTCGAAGTCGGTGCCAGCGGACAATATTTTAAGATATGAATATCTAATAGGTATATATGTATTATGTATTTTACGTATCAAAATATATTAGATTTCCTATGCGTCGGCTGGCACCCACTTCGAAAATATCTGATTAGGTATCTATTCTAAATGAAAACCCCCGTTTAGTTATTTTTAACATTTTAGTGCCTGGAAGTCGGTTTTTTTTTAAGTTTTTATATTGTACAGGAAGCTTGGCTAAGTATAAATCGATTGATTAAACTTCATATAAATTACGGGATTCTTGGGCACTTCCATATAAAATATAAGAAAGTTGTTTTCTTTTCGATACAAAATATATATCTACTCTAATTATAGAATTAACCTAAGTGGAGGAACTTTCAAAATATTTGAAGTTATTATGTACTAGCATTGCCCGCGGCTCCGCCCGCGTTTAGATGACCAAAAACCAAATTCTTAGGTTTTACATATTAGTATACTCTTAAAATGCAGTACTTGTATTTTTTCTCAGAAATGAGATATTTTCCCGCGGTAAAAAGTATTCTATATGTTGACCCGGATAACCATCATACTAAATTTCATCAAAATCTGTCCAGTGGTTTTCTCGTAATGCGGTAACAGACAGACAGACAGACAGACAGACAGACAGACAGACAGACAGACAGACAAAAATTCTAAAAACTATAGATTTGGACTCTGTATCGATAATAATGTCTATTTCAATAAGATTTTCCAAAAAATATTTAATGTACAGATTCGACTTAGTTACAATTTTATTATATGTATAGATTTCAAAATATTAATTATTATTTTAACATATTTATACCCAATGATATTTTTTTATCATTATTAAATATAAATTATTTCATTGTAGTTCCGTTATGTAAAACAGGACGCAGTACGAAGGTTTCAAATGAAGACCCAGTTATTGCATGTGTGGGAGATAGGACGCATCATTTAATTGAAAATTTGGATCCTACCACGGTTTGTGGCTTTTAATCTATCTTTTTATATATAAACTAGCGACTCACCCTCGCTTCGCTCAGGTTCGTCCCTAGCTTGATTCCACATACAAACTTTCATCCCTATTTGCATCCCCTTAAGGGATGATTTTCAGGATAAAAAGTATCCTATGTCCTTTTCTGGGTCTCAAACTAACTTTTTACCAAATTTCATCTAAATCGGTTTAATAGATCCAGAGATTACCCCCTACAACGTCACAAACTCACAAACCCACAAACTCACAAACTCACAAACCTTATCTCTTTATGATATTAGTATAGATTAAAATGAATGTTTGTATGTTTGTCCTCTATGTGTTTCTAAACCATTGATCCGATTGTAATGAAAGTCTGGTGAGTTATTCTGTATACGCCTGCAAAAGTCCTGAACTGAAAAAAAATATCAGTGGACATTTGTATTTTATGCGTTCCTAAACCATTCAAACATAGGGACGCGCCCGAGCGAAGCGAGATTTAGCCGTTAGTATTTTATAATTGACATCTCATCAAAAAAAAATGGATGCTAGTTTATATTTTAGTTTTAGGTAATATTTCAAATTTCGTATTTAGATAAGGCTTTGCTTTTTAAATTTATTTATTTATATGTATGTATATATATATATATATATACCTTCATAATTCGTTGGCTTACTATTACAAGGTTCTATGTTAATTTTAATGAAGTTTAGTAATTTTTACATAGAACTACGTTATTTTGTTATCGTAAAAAAACAACATAGAACTATGTAAAATTGAATATTTTGTAGTTATACCTAGTGCCGCTATCTAGTGGTTTGTTTTTGCAAAACTGTAGCTAATGACACAGAACCTTTTAGCATTAATAACTAAATAAGTACTAAAATTGTAACATAGAATCTTGTAATAGTGAGCCAACGAATTAAGTCGTTTCTGAAAAAAATGCATTTTTCATATCTTTTCCGAAAAAAACACCTACATACCACACGAGCAGAGCCTCGAGTAAGCACTAGTATTAAAACGTTGTTCAACGTTGTGAAGTTTGTTAAAACATATTTACATATTTTGCAGACATACTTCGTAAGTGTTTTCGGAGTTGCACGTGATAGACGATCTGGGTCGTTACTCGCCACTGGCAGTGTTCGTCCTCGAACATCCACCGCCAAGAGATTGCGAGAAAATATACCTTATAAAGCTGAAATAAAAGGGAAAAGCGTATATTATTTGAAGGTAAAAGATATACTACCTATTATTGGTAAAAATATGATGAAAATATCATTACTTCTTTATTTAATTACTGTTTTATCAATAACAAACTAACAAATGTCACTAAAAAACCTTATTTAAATTTTCAAGTATAGCTAATTATTATTTAAAAAATAATATAATTAGTCAAAACGTCAAAAGTCCAGCCGTTCTCTAATAAAGCATTATTTATTTTTATTTATATACATTTTAACACATAGCTAACCTACCATAGTTAAATAACCCCTACGCAAATTAATTGTCATTTAACGATAACACTGGCACGCGTGACGCACTTACCTAATCAAGTAATCATACGCCAAAATGCCTTATATCATTTTAGAAAAGAGCTGATACTCTTACACTGCTGGACTGATATTAACCAAACATAGCTAAGAACCACCGCAAGGAAATTGAATAACTTTAAATATATACTTACATATTATAAATATAAACACCCATGATTGGAGTACAAACATTCGTGGTTATCACACAAATGAATGCCTCTAGCGGGACTCGAACCCGAGCAAGTGGAGTCACTACAAACTGAGCCAAGTTTAAATTCTAATTTATATAGGTTTATTCAATACGTAACCATTTTGTTAAAGTTTTACTTTATATGGTTTATTTTATTTAACAACTTAACGAATATAAATGAACCTATTTCATTATTCCAAGGTGTAAGCCTAACCTTATACAACGTTTTAAGTAATAGCAGCTTTTCAAGTACCTCATAAAGACAACTAGGGTCTTCTATGGATGATCTTATAAATATAATATCCATTGCAAATGTTAATTCTGAATGAATGTGTCTACTAAATATATATTTAAGTGCACATTTTTGAATTTACTCATACATTTCTCTCTAAGAATGGTCTTACATATCGTATGGTTTTATTATAAGTTTTTACATGTTTTAGTAGGATGAAAATAAATAATTAGAAATAACGTGATTATTTCCGTGTTATTATTCCATTCTTCATCATTTCTTAGAGCGAAACGCACTTGAAAGGCTAAAATTATGATAATCTATTCATTACGGACATGCTTAAGTACCCACTAAGGAAAAGTATAAATAAAAGAGGTAGAATATTTTGTATAGAAAATAATTGTTCTTTTTTAAACGTAAAACTTAATAATAATTTGGCAACATTAATGTAACACGTATTTTCACATTTTAAATATTTCACCCCATAGAAGACTAAGTGCGGTTTGAGAATTGTTATAAAAGTAGCCAGGCAAAGCTGGAGCGGTTGCTAGTAATTTTACATAGAATTGAAAAAAAAAACAACACCTATCTTTCGCTAGCATTTCTAAGAAGTGAGACATTTTATTTCCATACTGATAATAGACTTTTTATGTAGCAAAATGAAGAATTCCAATGTTGAGCAAAAAAAATTACGGATAAGTGCGAGTCGGACTCGCCCGCCGAGGGTTCCGTACTAAAACTAAAATTTTCAACTTTTTTTTATTTTTTGGAATTTTTCCTTTATTTGTGCTGTAAGACCTTGCTTTTTGCCAAATTTCGTGATTCTACGTCAACTACCATATAGGTTTTCGACCCAAAACCTATAGACGGCTGACCTAGAATTGTCAATTTTGGTTAAAAACAATGTCACAGTACAAGTAAAGGGAAAATTCCGAAAAATAAAAAAAGTTGAAAATTAAGGTAAATTTTGGTACTTACAAGTTTTTGCAAAAATCTAACCCATATCTTTTTATCGTGTTCGCTCAATCTTGATTTTTATACACCTAATAGGGACTATAGACCTTGGCATCTGGTATAAATTTCAACTTGCTGGGTCCACCCGTTCCTGAGAAAATCGATGGTGACACACGGACAGACAGAAGGACAAGAGAGTGATCTTATAAGGGTTCCTTTTTTTACCTTTTGAGGTACGGAACCCTAAAAAGTATGACAATAAGAAAATTTAAAAAAATTACTAAATGAGTCTTAAATAATTATACTTTTTTAGTATTTTTGCTATCTAAAGTTATTGATTACAAGTTATTAGGTAAATGTGGTAGTGACGGAATCCAGTTATTTTCATGCATGTCATACTCAGACTAAGAAATACGTATAAATAAAAATATAATAAAGAAAAAAAAGCTAAATTATGCTATCTCTCTTTCAACGAACAGAGAACTAATGCTTAAAAAATACAAATTTACGAATATATAAAATTTCCCTTTTGCTTTAAAGAAAGTAATCGTTTTGTATTGCAAAATATATTATGTAGACTAACATTTTTTGACGGGTTCCGTCATTATAATTATTTAGAGACTATAGCGACTACCCATCGCTTCACTCGGGTTCGTCCCTAGATTGATTCCCCATATAAAATTTCATCCCCATTTTCACTCACTTAAGGGATGATTTCCGGGATAAGAACTATCCAATGTCCTTCCCAAGGTCTCAAACTATCTTCTTACCAAATTTCATTTAAATCGGGCCAGTAGTTTCGGAGCCTATTCAGTACAAGCAAACAAACAAACAATCATAGTTACTTTAATAAATACTGTTTTTACTTTTTAGACGTCTGGCAACAGCGGATCAGGATTATGGGTGGTGGTCTCAACTTGCGGCGGTTCAGTTGACATTGAAGTGTCGGTTAGAGGAAAGAAATTGTATATCTCAAAAAATATAGGTAAGATTAAAACGAAATACTAGCTGTATGTATTGTCACATGTAACTATTTAATCATCTACTTTGTAAGTCTTATCTATATCTATATATAACAAAATTCTGAGTTGAATCTGTACGTTAAATATTTCTTGGAAAATCTTATTGAAATAGTCATTGTTATCGATACAGAGGCCGAATCTACATAATTATAGTTTTAAATTTTTGTCTGTCTGGGAACGCATCACTAGGAAATAACTGGACAGATTTTGATGAAATTTGGTATGATGTTAACTGGTTATTCGGGTCAACATATAAAATACTTTTTACTGCGGGAAAATATCTCATCTCTGAGAAATCTATACTAAATATAAAAACGTAACTAGTGACGAATCCGAGCAGAGCGAGAGTGAGTCGCTAGTTTTATATAGGTATATATATTATATATAGGTAAGTGTTCGCCCAGTGGTCGAAATTCGACCATAATCATTATACACAATTTTTTTGTTTCATTCATTGATAACACTAAATACATACGTCTTTGCCACACATAAACGAAAGATTATTAACGATCGATACTTAAGTATATATTATTGTTTATTATCTATATCGTTAATCAATAAAAAAACAACTTCATGCTATGTTTGTTTCCTTCAGTAAAGTCGAACCTATCTTTCACAACCTACAAAACAATATTTCCCTTAAGAATTTCGTTTTACTTTCATTTCAGAACCGCATTTAAAATTTTTCGTACCAGCGCCTATAACTAGTTCGTCAATGCAAGAAACAAGTGATGAAGGCTCAGTACAATTCGATTCGAGCTCAGAGGAATCTAAAATAAGATATGTTATAAGAGTGTTACCAAATAAGAGGGATGCTGATGGTGCCGTCACAGTTGAGGTAAACAATTAATATCTATAAAATAATTTTAATATCGACGTAATCTATACAGATAAATAAAATTAAAGTTCCTGTACGTAATGTCAAAACAACTACTTTTTACTAAATGCAAAAGTAAATATATACGGTACATATATGAAAAACACAATATTTTTTATCGGTCTGTCTGTCTGTTCCGGCTAATCTCCAAACGATTTGACTGATTTTAACGGGATTTTCACTGGCTTAGGCTGCTTTTATACTACAAAAAGAATTAGGGTTCCGTTAAAAAAATTAAAACGTACCTAGGGACGCACCCGAGCGAAGCGAGGGTTAGTCGTTAATAGAAAATAAACATTGCAAAGTACGAGTTGTAGTTTAGCAGCAAAATACTCTTGTTTATTTAAGGGTTCCCTAAATTTGTTACAAACCAAAATAACACAACATATTTATTCTAAAAGTTTTGTACTAGGTACTTCTTACGGACCAATTATAGAATTAATTTGAAGACAGTCCTTTCAATGTAAGAGTAGCGGTACCTTGTTAAAATATTATAAAAACACAAATAGTTTTATTTCTAGTGTTAAAATATGAAACTATATCAAATTTTGACTAATTTAACCAAAAATAAGAGCTCTATAGATATAGGTATACCTAATAGTAAATTAGATACGTAATATTATATTATCCTATATAATAATAATATTACAATATACCTAAATGACGTCGGATCTATATGGTGTCTTTTATTATAAGTTATTTCTCAAACAGAATCAAATATTTTAGTTCTAGAAACTTGACACACAATTTCCAAGCAATGATTGCATTCAACCACAGAACATGTCATTTGCTCAAATTACACGAAACTAATGGAAGCGCTTGTTTGGGAAAAGCCAAGCCAAGAAGTTTGAACTTAAAATTAAAAAGTTTATTCTTCATTTAAAATTAGATTCTTTTGTAATTTCTGGCTAATAACTTATAATATTGCTACAGGTTTAGTATTTACGCCATACCTACTCAAATTGCTTACCTAAAAGGTAGATATGATATAATAATGTCAAACTCTGAATTCGAAATTGAACGTATTTTGAAAAAGCAATCAAAGGCATGAAGCTAATCAAGTAGCTAAGTGCAAAAAGTTATTGTTTTTTATATTTCCCAATTAAGTTGTACTTAAATAATATGTAGGTACAGTGATAACAAAATAAATAGGTAGAACAAGGGGTGTGCAGTTATAAAGTTAATTAATAAGACAAAACTAAAACGAGATTCATCCATCTTACAAGTAAAACATTTCATAAATTATATTTTAAAATACGAAAAGCGCTATTTCGCATTATGTCAAAGTGACCAGAACATCGAACTTTCGTGATTGAATTAATTTGCTTAAAGTTTCTGTAGTTGCTGTTAACTTACGCCCAGGACTTTCCAGACGGTCCCTTTAACATCGTGTTAGTCTTTAGTATTATAATACACGCGTTGAATTCCAAATAGTAAATTCAGAAATACACAAATAATAGATTCCGACTCAAAGAGTTAAAGAGATTAAGGCATTGAATTTTTTAGTTCATTTAACAAAACTTCATAAAATAAATATTTATAAGTATGATGTACTTCGACGGTTTAAACTATAAAAAAATTAAACCTCAAATTTGGCGCACTTTTAATCATCATAGATAAAATATAGGTCATATCTATATCAAAAAGCAAAGATCATAGATCAAACAGCCTATTAGTTATATTTTGTATTCTGTGATAAATTTTGAATAGTAAAATTGTAATAATGAATACTTTTCAGCTTGCTGCTTCAACAAGCAGATGGGGCTTAAATACTCCAGAATTAGTGGAAGATGGCGCTACAGTTCGTGAATTAAGGCCAAAACGATCATGCAAATCTGTAGATATAGCGTTTTTACCAGCTACACATAATGTGACCGACATTATAAGGTGAATTTGACCAAAAAAGTTTATATATACCATTCATGATGTTCATGAATCATGATAATATTCTGTAGCCTTTATAAGCCAGAAATTTAATAATGATTATTTTTTTAATGTTTCAGATACTGTATTCTAACCCGTGAAATTGTGAATACCGATAGCGTTATTTGCACTTTATCAAAAAAGTCCCCAAATAAGACTCAATGTATAAGCCATATGCAAAGACCTCCGTAAGTAAATTTTGTACCTATTTTTCATATCAAATGTTATTTTTATTTTTTTAATATGTTTAAATAAACAGTATTGTCATAATATCCTGATATATCTTTGGACAGTATTTTGACATATATTAGTAATATATTGAGGATTCTCCAAATGCGGTCTCTCGTATCTGTCTGATAAAATAAAATACAAATAAAAATTTATTCTAAAATTAATTTTTAATAAAATTACAGAACAAGAGTGATAGTACAAAAAGTAATGGGCCTTAAAGCGGGAAGAAAATACGCTATTCAAGTTACTGCCTCGTCTAAAGGAAGCTCCGTGCCATATAACGTTTTATATGTTGATACGAACGTATCATGTAAAGATGAGTATTGATATATGTATGTAGAACTTTAGTACAATAATGGGTGATTTTTGTTTATTGATAAAATAATGGGGAAGTTTAAATAACTATTTACCAGTTAAAAATAAATTTCAAAAGCTGTCATACGTGGTTATGGTCACATCTCTGACTTTTGTAAACAAATCAAATGTATCAGAGCGCAACTTTATGACATTTTAATATAGTTAAATGCAATAAACAAGCTTCTTCATTTCAGCTTTTGTATAAACTTATTAATTTTTAGAAAATTGTGTGTTTCGTACCTTTACCTAATTTGATTAAAATATACATAATATGTAAGGGCGCTCCTTAAATAAAGCGATTCCACTATAGTGATTTCTGCATATTAATTTTACTAAGTGACTTTCCATTTTCTTAGACCAGGATCTTTTACAATTCATGGTAGAGGTACCATTTTAATAAATAAGAATAATTTATAAGTACATTTTTAAATTTATCTTCACCCAAATCAGTATTAGTCGTATTAGTTTTATTGTCAGTGTACTATGAACTTTAGTAGTTATTTTTATACCAGTCATACTGGCATAATTCTTTTGTGTACATAATATAAAACAGTTAAAGAAATGTTTATTTATTTTCTTGTGAAAAAATAATTAAGGATAAGATTATAATGTAAATGTAAGAATGATCCTGAGAGGCATTTCCTAAATGAGTTAAATTGTTGATTTACTATAAACTGATATGTCCTGATTTGTTCTAATAGTTATAATATTAATTATTCTAAATAAAATTAGTTACATGTGGCATTTAGTTGAACAGAATGTAAGTTCCTACTATTTTTACGCAGAGTGTATTTAAAATATAATATTATGAAAAGTGAATAAATTTAATAAATTGTATATAAATAAAATTGTTTTATTGTCTAAGATAAGGTAAGACGCGTTCCTATCGACTATACCTAAGATAAACATGCTAGACTCGTAACTCGAACTATTCCATTTACAAAATTATAGATAAAATCTTTAGAGTTTTATACTTACCTACCTACTAAAAATTGCCTTGCATCGAGCCGCTCGGTGAGAAGTTTAAGCAAAAGCAGCCGAAGTTTTAACAAAAATATGTAGGTAGAGCTTAAAATTTTACATAAAAAAGGTTTCATGACTTTTTTCCTCCGGTCAAAATCTTTAATTTTAGAGACTTAATACAACGACGCAGGACTTTAAATTTTTTCATACCTGTATAAATTCACACCTGCCGAAATATACCAGGTAAAAAGGTTTTTTGAATCGTAAAAATTAGGAAATTTTACGAGGAATCTAAATATAGTAAAAAGAAAATTTAAATTTTAATTAGAAATATTGAAATTTTAATTAGAAAATTTCGAATTGTTATATATTTTTTTAACAATAAAGAAAATCTGTGTCACTTAATTATAAAAGATTAGATATTTTTGAGCATTTGAAAAAAAAGTCGCTTATTTTTCTACTGCCTACGATTTTTTAAAATTTACGTTCATCCCTTAGCCTTAAAACCTCCTTAACTCGGTTAATTTTGGCCGGAGGAAAAGTCATTATACCTTTTTTATGAAAAATTTGAACCTCTACACATTTTTGCTAAAACTTTTTGTCTAATTTTTACCGTTTTCGAGTAATTGCGAAAAAACATTTTTGACAATTTTTGTTCAACCCTTGCCGGGGGTTGCAGACATGAAAACCTTTACACATTGTGTTTGTACCATTAAAACTACATTATATAAAAAATGCAAAGTTGGGTGCCAAATTTTGATTTCAGACCTTATTTGACTGGACTACACATTTTATACATAGTTATTTATCATTTCCATCTGCAACCTATTTATTAGCGGTAATATTTTTTTTCAATACATTCGGTTTTATAATCGATGTCATAAGTTCTCGCCTATATAACCTATTTGAACACATTGGTAATAATTAATATAAAAAATGGTAAACTTAAAGTTTTAAACTGAAATAACTTTAAAGTCGTTTATTTTTAATTGTTATTGATTCCATGCCAATATGTGCTGGTAATACAGTCATATTATCTATTTAAAAAATTAAAACACTGTTACACTACTGTCAACTTCAAGTGTCAATATCATTGTCAATTGTCAAACAAACAACTGGCGGACGGCGGTGTCCGGTGACATTTTCCAATCTCTTTATTCTTATCCCAATAATTACAAGATTGTATAAATTGATTAGTGAATTTCATTAAAAATATCTAAACGGACGTAATTTAAATATATACTGACAATATTTTCATTATATATTTCTAACAATTATGGCAACGACTGACAAACAATTTTTCGGGCCGTTAACTTTACATCAAAAAAGTGAAAAACCATCTATCTTTAAGTGTGAGAAACCAGTTGAAAGTTCCTGTGTTCTATGCGATGAAGTATTCATGCTGCCTGCAGCTGAAAAGCAGATGTTAACTCACATCTTCATGGAGCATCGTCTGGTTATAGCTGACGTGAATGATGTGGCTGATCTGATTGCTTATATTAAGTATTGGAAGCTTAGATTTAAAGGTTATTTTTATTTAAAAATATATGAAATGCTTATTGGTCAATAAAGGTTTATAATTAAAATAATATTCATTGAATTTTATATATAATATATTATTAAGTAAACACAAAGTGATTTTGAACAATATTGGTATCAATTTAATTGTAATAGAATTAAGCTATAAAACAATATTATTTTGTTTTTCAGATCATAATCTTCCATACTTTTGTACTACAATGCTTCTTGACAACAAACCCGATGGAACTAAATCAAAGGATGAACAATACTTTTTATTAAGTGATGTGTTACCTGAGGATAAAGAGTTACGTCTTAATGTAAGACAAAGCAAATTAGAATCATTATTAGAGAGACAAGCATTTGAAAGAGAAGACAAAAATTATATAAAAGAATGCCTTTTCTGTAGATTTGTCTCAAATGGTACAAGGGCTACCTATTTAAATCATTTGTATGAAAAACATAATTTTCATATTGCCAAACCTGATAATTTAATATTTGTTGATGATCTCGTTGAATTAATAGGTTCAAAGTTGGATAGACTACAGTGTATTTTCTGTGAAGGCTCATTTAAAGACAGGACTATTTTAAAGGAGCACATGAGGAAAAAAGGTCATAAGCGAATTAATCCTTCAAATAAAGAATATGATAAGTACTTTCTAGTCAATTATATAGGTGATAAACAACCTCCTAAGCATAAAAATACACCTTTCTTTAAAGAGAGAGAACAATATGAACATGATTCCAATGTAGATAGCGACCCTGAATGGTCAGAATGGACTGAAGAAAATGGACCTCAAATAACTTGCCTTCTGTGCGACCACAGAGAACAGGAATATGAAAATATATTAGACCACATGGAAAGAAAACATGAGTTTTCTTTTACTAAAGCGACAGCAGGATTTGATTTTTATCATAAAATAAAAATTGTAAACTACATCCGCAGGCAAATACACTTAAAACAATGCTTGTCATGTGACACAAGTTTTGATGATTCAAAAAATTTAGAAAAGCATTTAAAGGAAATGGGTCATTGGGCTCTATATAAGGAAAGGTGGGATCAACCTGAATATTACTTTCCTACATATGAAGATGATTTATTTTTGTGCTTTATTCACGATGATGACGAGAGTTGGTGGTCAAGTGATGAAAAAGAAACAGAAGAAAGTAATAGTATGTCAGATTGTATTTCTAAAGAAATGGCAATGGCAGTGCTAGAAGATGGAGAATAATATAACAATTATTATTATATATCTAGAAAGAATATTATTCGAAAGTGCATTCAATACAATCCCATTAATATTATAAATGCAAAAGTTTGGATGTTTGTTATTCAATCATGCCAGAATATGAACAGATCTGAATGAGATTTGACACAGAAAGGTTATATGAGTATGGAATAGCACATAGGTCACTTTTTATCCAAGAAGAATGTATGGTTCCCGTGGGATAAATTTCTTATTGTTTTTCACTTGGGACAACCCCGAGTAAGGCAAGGGTGAGTTGCTAGTATTAAATAGTTCTTGGGATATTTAAAGCAATCTACACTAATATTATAAAGAGGTACACTTTGTAAATATTTTCTATGTAGAGGGCAAACTCTAAAATAACTGGTACGATTCAGAAAATCATTCATTGATAGGAAGTTATATTACTGCTGAGTGCTGTAGGCTTTTATTATATTTTATTATTCTGATGAGAAACTATCATAAATCTTAATAACTTTAATTGTAGTTGGCTTCATTGGCTATTATTAGGCAGTAGAAGTATGTCGCTACTTATAAGGACATAGAAATAATCATTATTATTTATTTTCGGTTCCAATGAAATAAATTTTATTAATAAAATATTTTGTTTACTTTATAAATATACTTATAAATTGTATATAAATTCTATTGATGAGCATACATTTCTCTACTTCTAAAAAAATGGATATTGTACTCTCAAAATGCTTTAAGAAAAAAGAAAATTAAAAAAAAAGTACTTCAAATAATGTAGTTGTCAATAGATGGTTTAATATGTCTGTATAATTATTGAAGAAAATGATGGATTCTAAATTGTGTGGATTGTCTTTTATATATATTATATTTAAAAGATCACCTAAGAATAAAAAAAGATAAAATATTGACATCTTTGTAAACATTTTTACTTATAAACAACTATTTTTGATTACTTATAAATGTGCACTGCCTATTCGTAGCTGGTATTTTTTTTCTAGTGTTTTTCTGATTTGCATTATAAATTTAACATAACAATACCTCAATTGGTAAACCAGCCAACTTGACATTTCTTCAAAAAATATTTTTTTGATTCAGATTGTACATAAGAGTAATTCAGTAGGATTATTTTAGTAGGATTTTACAGTATCAAAAATAACATCTTACCATTATCTACTAATGGTATTTTAGATTTTTTAATAAGTAGTGTACAAAAAATATTATAAAGTTTTAAGTGTCTCCTGAAAAATTTGCTCATAATATGGAATTAACTGGTTTACCAATTAGGGTATCGATAACTAACATTTTTGTATTTTAACAAAATAGTGCGAAAGGTTTCAAGAAGAACCATTTATCATCTATTCAGGCAAAACAATGGCCAGAAGAATAGGTTGAGTTGTGATGTGATGGGATGTTTGTCTTTGATCCCTTATAAACCTGTGGTTGTAAAATATAAAGTAATAATAATTATAATTTAATAGAGATAAATACTAGAAATAGTTATATAAGTATACTATATTCCTGTATTTTTAACATTAGTGTTACCATAACTGCTATGTGTTTGGAGGTTGTTTATACAAACACTTTATTATGTCTCATAATATGGATAGCTCGGACTAAAGAATTATATAGTCTGTAAAAAAATAATCACAAGAAAAGTAGTGTGATTTTAATATATAAGCCATTCTTGATTTTGCCATACCTACAGATAGTTTATAATTATATTATTATTTATTTAAAGAATAAGAGCAAATATTAGTAGTTAATTTTCAATTTTTGAAAAGAAAATATGAATGAATTAAATTAATAGAATATTATTTTGTTATTTTTAAGGATTTGATCTCCTCCACTTGAAATAGAGATAGAGTTATTTTTTCCTTTATTATAATGAAATTCGTTAGCTATTTTTTTATTAATATTTTTTTATCACAGTAATGAATATTCTACTAATATTTGTATACTGTTTTAAAACATTATATATTGTTTTGAGACATTATTGTTTGGATTCATGTTTAGTTCTATGACACTCTATATTATTCCTTAGTCTGAGATGGATAGGTACAAAGAGGCTACCACCAACCATGGTCGAAATTGGTGGTCGAAATTGGTTATGATGATGATATTATTAGGTATATGCCTCTGTGGTCTAGTGGCGTGGCATGTACGGCTGCAGATACGGCGGTCCTGGGTTCGACGCCCGTGTCGTCTCATCGGAGTTTGAAAGTAAAAGGAATAGAGAGTGTACGTTGTGTCTGCGCGTACACGCGCTGCACTATATCTCCTGCGCGTCTGGCTATTCAGTGAGGTTGGCCGCCGTAGACCGTCGAGGATGTTATTATTACACATGAGAAAATACTAAAGTTTTATTCTACTCTATTATATAAAAAAAGAAAGTTAATTAGAAATGTATTGAATTATGAAAAAAAATCAAAAAAGTATATTTTAATATTTTTTTTAATTATACATATTGTGTCATTTTCTTGTATATGTAAAGAAATATATATTCACATTTAAATAAAACTTCTTCATATTCGTTTTATGTGTATCATTTTTTCATGCCTAAAAAGTATTCAAAAAATAGCATTAGCTTAGAACTCTGGGCTTGTTGTAGCAAAAGAGTAGCTTACGTATGAAAGTCCAGTTAAAATAGGCTTTTCCATTTTTTTCTAATATTTTCCCATCGATCAAAAAAGTACTAGATACAAAGCCTATGTAAAAGTTCTCTTAAAACTGTCACCAATTGTGTTTAGGTAATTATTCTAATTAAAATAAATATACAAAAATGTAAATTGATCCTTAAATGCGATGCTTAAAGTTGTTTTCACAAAATAAATTTTAAATTAAAAGCGCGCTCAAATGTTTAAATGAGCGCTCATTCGGTGAGGACATTTTTTGTCGCTGATTGTTTACCTTGTACTTTTTGATCGATGTATTTTACTTACTATACCACTATTATACGATGTACTAGCATTGCCCGCGGCTCCGCCCGCGTTCAGATGACCAAAAACCAAATTCTTAGGTTTTACATATTAGTATACTCTTACAATGCAGTTTTTGTATTTTTTCTCAGAAAAGAGATATTTTCCCGCGATAAAAAGTATCCTATATTATGTTGACCCGGATAACCAGCTATCATCATACAGAATTTCATCAAAATCCCTCCAGTGGTTTTTTCGTGATGCGGTAACAGACAGACAGACAGACAAAAATTCTAAAAACTATAGATTCGGCCTCTGTATCGATTATAATGTCTATTTCAATAAGATTTTCCAAAAAATATTTAATGTACAGATTGGGCTTAGTTACAATTTTATTATATGTATGGATAATAAATATATCCACCACAAAAAGGGACATTAAAATTGTGTTGGCTATTCAAAACAGTGATTTGTTAAAGAATATTTTATGTTTTAGGATTTTGTGTTATGTCTAAAACCATATATGAATCAATCTGAAGATACCTACTATTTATAAAAAGGTACACCAAAACTACTTTAAGTATTAATCACTTAAAAGTAGGTTGTCCACCTTAAGGGTTGATTTTTTTTTAATTTGTATGGGGTCAACTTTGTAGCATAACCTTCCTATGCATCAAAAAAAGAATTACATGCACATCTTTTTAAAGTCGGTTAAAAATAGAGAGACAGGATCACTATTAAATATATTAATTTACGACATCTAAAATGTCTTTTTCATAAAACATTCTTAGATTTACGCGAATATTTCACACTTTAAATAAAACTATCTTTTTGATACGTTTTACATATAAAAAATATTGTTAGCGAACTTACCTTACGAGGTAGACACTTGCTATCGCAGATTTTTCTGTAGGCTTTTTAAGACATACAATTTTTTAGTATAGTGTTTTGATATATGTAGGTACCTCTAAAGATTTAGCCAGCGTTAGCCGTTGCGCTGCGAGCGATTAATAATTTTAAATCTGTAATATCTAAGATATTAATTTTAATTAAAAAGGCAATTTTTATCTATATTAAATGCATAACTTAAATTTAACGTATTAAATTATATAAGCATTAACACTGTATTATTGAAAATAGCTTTGTAAAACGCATAATTTTTTAGTAATATTTAAATAATAAAAATAGTTAATGTGGGCTATCCTTAGGGTATAGACATATCCCCCCCAACGTGCGTTTACCTTGTCGTGGTGGAGGGGCTCAGTAGTGCCCGGCAATACAGCCGGGCGCGAAGCCAAGAAACGTACAGGAAGGTGGCCCACTTCGGTGGGCGGTGGGAGGTGGCCCTCTTCGGAGGGCGGTGTACCATGCGGGTTGCTCCTGGTACTTCTTTGATAGCAGAGTGGACTTTGGAGCAACCCCATGGTCGTTGTGGTCTGCCACAGCAGACCTGCCGCTGGGGCGTCGTAGTTGAATGCGTAAGCGATCCTGCGACGCCCAATTAAGACGGGGGAAGGTTTTGTTGGGTTTTAGTGGGTAGTACTGGCCTTGCCGGTGAGTCCCACATCTCGTGCGTAAATGCATTTCCCAACGTTAAAAAAAAGGTATAGACATATACCATCGCGGGCTTTTACTTTACACCTTTTTAAGATATGCAATTCCGTAATAGGTACATTATTTTGATAAATGTACTTAGTGTATTGTAAGCTTAGAGTATTGAAAGCTTAGAGTATATAAAAGCTTATGTACAATTACTCTAAGATTGTAAGGTTTAGCCAGCGCGGCGTTAGCAATGTAAGCGCCCAAAAATATGTTTTATACATCATTACAAATCTTTGAAATTTTCAGCTTTTCTTTACTACAATATGCATGTATTATACACATAAACTTTCCGGAAGAAAACCTCTACATGATAGTGAAAACGTATCAAAATCTGTTGCGTGTAGTAGTGTTGTACCTATACATTATTTTTTTAGATTTGTTGACATTTATGATTACTGCTCCGCTCCCTTGGTTAGTAGCATGATAATATACAAGCCTTCCTCAATAAACTGGGTATCTAATGCAAAAATAATTTTTAAAATTGGATTAGCCGTTCCTGAGATTAGTGCGTTCAAACAAACAAACAAAATCTGTCTCTTTATAATATTAAATATTAATATAATTTAGAAATATATAAACTGCACGAGTTTTAATTAGATTTCATTTTATTTTAAATATTTACTTAAATTGCTATTAGAAGCTTTTAATTAAATAAACCATGGCTAAGTATTTTATAATTTAGTAGGTACCTACATAAAATTAGAGGAATTAATAATTTTTTTTTGAAAAAAATTGTGATTAAAAAGTAAATAGGTAATAATACAAAAATTGTATTTTATATTCACCTTTAAATCACTTATTTTATTCTAAATAAAAAAAAAATTTTTCTAATGTTCGAATAGATACATCAAAAAAAATCTTATTCCCTCGACTTATTGTATACTTATGTATTGTTGTTTACATTCAGTGCCTTTAATAAAAATATAAACACGTATAAAAACCCGCAGGTCGTGACTTTCGACCTTTCCTGGTTCTAGATCAATAAGTACTAATAGAGCTTATTTCAAAGATTATAAATATTTATTCTTGTATAACGAAGACACATATAATCACAGAACACTTTTACTCGGGAGCATATAATACACTTATTATTTATTTAATTTATTTATTTATTGAATTTATTTGGAAGAGAAACAGTATTATGTTACATATTATAAACAAAAGAAATAAAAAAATTACATACACCAAATAAGTCTTCACTGTTTACACATTCTTAAGGTAGGTATATGTTAGCTTATTAAAATTAAAAATTAAAGTATATAACAAGAAGAAAACGGGGAAATCACGAACAGACACTTCTGGTTAAAATTTTGAACTTATTTAAAGAAAGGGAAAATAAATCTATGTCATTAAATATTTCGGCCTTTCGGCCCTTTTTAACGTCCCACTGCTTGGCACGCCGTACGGGCCTCCCTTTACTACAAGGAGGATCAGGCCATAGTTCACCATTCTGGCCAAATGCTAACAAGATTAATATTCAGACTTTTTTTAAATTGAGCTTCAAATTATAAATTGTGAAAGTATACCTAATTTCCTCAAACACTTACCGACCCTGCCGTAGTATCTATGCTGCAACTGTCAGACACTTGTCAAACAGAATTTTCCTTAATTATAACTGTTTAATTAATTATTAAGGCATAAGATAGGTACTTACGCTAAGAATTTACTTTTTTAATGTATACAGGCAATTTAGTGATTTTACGATTTATGAAAAAAACTTTTATAATATTTAGTATATGAACACTGAGTGTCTCTCTCATATTAAATAAATAATTAATACATATTTTAATTATTATGCAATGTGATGTTCGTGACTTACTACTTTTTTAGTTTAAAAGACAAGCTAGATTTTTCGTAATTCGTAATACGATTTTTGCTGTAAAGCATTCGAAACTTCGGGTAGATAAAATACGGTATTATTAATATCGTGATAAAAGTCAATTATTTATAAGTTGAAAAAACTGTGTCAGAAAAGAAATAGGTAGATCGTTCATAACAGCAGTATAATATTTTCCAAATACCTTGTAAGCATGTTTTTGCTACATCAGTTTATCCGTTAATACCAAATTGTTTTGCGAATAGCGAAATATCACGAGGACATATTCTGAGTACGTCATGCAATAACTGCTTTTGTATTACAATTGGATATAAGTTGACTGTTCCATTATTTTAATACAATACTTATTACGGAAATGCACTCTAAAAGGTTTAAATTTTAATTACTTGTTACTCTTTTGTTAAAAAAAACGGAAAGCGATAAAATATACGTTTTAAAAGTTATGTGAAAGAGAGTCGCTCAGCTGGGTTCATAGGTTTCCGATCTCTATGATCAGTATCTGTAACTGCACTTCCCATGCTTGACATGTTTGGTGGTTAGTTCGAAGAAGTATTGAGCGATATTGTAGTCACAATCCACGTTTTCAATAACATCTATACCTACATATAATAAAATTGTAACTTAGCCGAATCTGTACATTAAATATTTTTTTGGAAAATCTTATTGCATTATACTTTATTATCGATACAGAGGCCGAATCTATGGTTTTAAAATTAAAATTTTTGTCTGTCTGTCTGTTTGTTACCGCATCACAAAAAAACCACTGGAGAGATTTTGATGAAATTTGGTATGGTGATAGCTGGTTATCCGGGTCAACATATACTCGTAGGATACTTTATACCGCGGGAAAATATGTCATTTCTGAGAAAAAATACAACAACTGCAATGTAAGAGTATACTAATATGTAAAACCCAAGAATTTGGTTCTTGGTCATCTGAACGCGGGTCAGCCGCGGGCAATGCTAGTGCACTATATAAAAACATAGTGGTGGTACATTGTCTTTATCTGATGACCTCACACAGCTAAATGGGTGAGTCATTCGTCGCTTTCTCCTCATTCAGATTTTGAAGACCGAAAGAATCACTTCCACCAAGCGCTCCTAGCGGATGCTGGAGGGCGACATCACCAAACCAAAAAGTCGTTGTACTCATCTCAACACTGAGAAATATAAGTAGTTTTTGAAATTTGCATTAGCGATTGCAGAAAGTCAAACTGTATTTAGCCCTGTTTAACACCCCACAGCTGGGCACGGGCCTCCCTTCAATACGAGCGGATCAGGCAATAGTTCACCACGATAGTCAAGTGCGGGTTCGCAGACTGCACACAGCTTTTGGAAACTTTTCTAGGATCTCTAGGAGGCCTGGGCCCAGTAGTGGGACGTTAAAAAGGGCCGAATACAATACAATAAGTACAGGTACATTTATCATAAGGCAAGTATTTTAAAATTAACTGCCTCGGTGGTGTAGTGGCTAGCATGTACGGCTGCACACCCGGAGGTCCTGGGTTCGAGTCCCGGGTCGGGCCAAGTTTAGTTATTGAGTCTTCCTGTATAGTAAGTCTCAGTAATAGCCCGGAGTTGGGAAGTTGGCGGTGTTTCACCCCCGTGCCTCGGAGAGCACGTAAAGCCGTCGGTCCTGCGCCTTAACTCTCACCGGTCGTGTCGAGTGGTCGTCCCACCGGAGTATGAGAGTGATAGGAATAGAGAGTGCACTTGTGTCTGCGCGTACACTTGAGCACTATAATATCTCCTGCGCAGTTGGCTAATCTCATTGAGATTGGCCGCCGTGGCCGGAATCGGCTAGGAGAACATTATTATTATTATTATTTTAAAATTCTGTTGAAAGATTCGACCCGAACAAACAGTCATACAAACATAACTTTCAGTTAAATAAAAGCTTGTAAAAATTACCTCTCTGCCATTTTATTTATAAGTACCTAAAATAGAATTAATATTCAAGGTCAATATGTAATTTTCAGTAACATGTGAATTTGAAGTATCAAAATACGCTATGATATATGGAGATAAAGGAATTTGATCTTACTTGGAAAACAAGGTTATTATAGAAAATGAAACCTAATAACTTATCAAATCCTATAAAAGATTGAAGTAATTTTTGTATAGTTTAACAAATATTAGACTTTAAACATTTTTTATTGTATTGAGCCCTTTTTAGGTTCCTATTGCTGGGCAGGGGTCATCCTTCAAAATGTAATGATTCAAACATGAAAACATCAGAGGTGCGAGACCCGGGATTTGAACCCGCTCCACTCGATTTCCCAAGCGAGCGCGTTACCACTGGGGCGCTTCTGCCTTAAAAGTACATATCTGGAGGAAATATGCATATATCTGAGATAACCTAACCAGTTTTTGGAAGTCGTGTGAAGTTTATCAATCCGCACTTGGCTATCGCGTTGGACTGTAGCGTAATCTGAATTATATAATAAATTATACATTTTTTATACAGAAATATATAAAACCGGAAGTGAGTGGACCAAACTAATCGGAAATTGCTTGTCACTCGTACATTCGCGTTGCACGTACAAAATTGATTAGGTGACGCCCGACTGGGCTCAATCCTAATTTTCCGCTAGATACACTGTGATACAATATGACGTGTAAAAAGCTTCAAGAAGCGATAGTCTGCAGTTTATTCAAAGGATTTACCGTATCTTTAGATAAGAAAGGTATACGAATAGATTCAAATAAGATATTTTCAAGTTTTCATACATCAATCGGTACAAGCAGAGTCCTATAAGGGTGTAAGCCCTTTTTAACGTTCCACTACTGGGCACGGGCCTCCTTTCAATACGAGGGGGATCAGGACATAGTCCTCCACGCTAGCCAAGTGCGGATTGGATATCTTTCGAAAATGTGCTAGGTTCTCTCGGACATGCAGGTTTCCTCACAATATTTTCCTTCATCGTAAGACATGTGATGTAAGTGAATTTGAACCCGCTTCAGTCAGTTTCCCGCGCGAGTGCTGTACCACTGGGCTATCACTGACTTTTTATCTGACTATAAAAAGCTCTTTTTATCAGCTCCTTACCAGAATCATGAAGTTAATATTTATATCAAATAATAAACTGTTATAGGTCTTTGACATTACCTATAAATTTTAAAATTAAACTAATTATTTTTATACTCTAAAATCCACCCATCAAAACATATTAGTATCCTGGTGACCTAGACCAAAAGTTATTTTAAGTCTGTTTATAACAGAAGTGTTGTTCTTCTTATTTCTAGTTGTCGCTATCACAATTCTAAATTGCTGATTTGATTATTATATCATGTATACGACGACACGTTTGGCTCAGTTTGTAGTGACCCTACTTGCTGTGCCAGCGGTCGCGGGTTCAGGTCCCGCTGGGGGCATTCATTTGTGTGTTGAGCACATGCAGCATGGGTGTTTATATTTATAATATGTATATATTTTAAGGTATATGTGTAGTATATCAACTATCTGGTATCCATAATACACGCCTCATAGCTTACTACGCAACTAGATGGTGCTGTGTGTTAATGTGCCAAATATGTCCCAGCATGTATATTTTAACTGTAAAGATAATCCATACTAATATTATAATTAATATGAAAATAGTTCTGTTTGTTTCTTTCTTTTTAATGACATAAACTACATAATAATGGTAAGGGAACCATGTAGGCCGAGCCGCGGGTAGTGACTACTATTATTTAAATTATCAAAGCTTTCAGTGTATTACAGTATACTGTATAGTATTATATGATCTGTGGTATTACAAAGCATTGTTATTTTCTAGTTTTACAGATTCCAACATTAAGTATTTTACAATTTTAAAGATAATATGAGTTGTCTTATTAAAATTAATATCTTTTCAGATTTTGTTGCAGTTTTATTTTGAACTTTGGTTATAGTCCGGTATCAATATTTTTGTAAGAGAAAAAGTTGGGCGTCTCATCGAAATGAAGCTGCTCACGGAAAATTAGCTTGATACTAATCTATTGTAAAATTGTACCAGGGATCCCGGACTATTACCGATGTCTCGAATGCTTTGCAGCAAACATAGTTACGGGAGAGACTATATATCTACCCACTTTATTATAAATTAATATTACAATAAACATATACATATGGTAGGAAGCACACATAACTAGCAATAACCATAAATACACAAACATCAAAGGCATTACAATTCTCTGTAAATATGAGAGAAAAATGCTTTGACAAATAAAACAAGGAAACGATTTCGAAATTGGTAAGGAGTAAGGACCCCGACTTCTACAAAGCTCGTATATATATACAACACTCCAAAAACAAAGCAAGAGTTGCATTTCTAAGAATTATACTTCAAGCTTTACAACTGAAAGAAAAGCTGGAAAATGAATTATTACTTATATTGTTTCTGTGGTATACTCTTTTGTTTTTATAGTTTGACTAGCATTGCCCGCAGCTCCGCCCGCGTTTAGATGACCAAAAAGCAAATTATTTGGTTTTACATATTAGTATAGTCTTACAATGCAGTTTTTGTATTTTTTCTCAGAAATGAGATATTTTCCCGTGGTAAAAATTATCCTATATGTTGACCCGGATAACCAGCTATCACTATACCAAATTACATCAAAATCCCTCCAGTGGTTTTCCTGTGATGCGATAACAGACAGACAGACAGACAAATTTCTAAAAACTATAGATTCGGCCTCTGTATCGATAAAAATGTTTATTTCAATAAGATTTTCCAAAAAATATTTAATGTACAGATTCGGCTTAGTTACAATTTTATTATATGTATAGATGGACTTACTATACATTCTTTAAAACTTTGGTTTATAACATCATCACTTCATTTATAAATTTAAGATCATTACTGCAAGCCAGCCACAAAACGCTACAGTGGGAAACCGTAAATAAAAACATATAAAAGTACAACTGCATTAATATCAATATATGTATAAATCAGCAACGACAAAGCACTGTTCTGTACCTTATACTTCTCTATTTACTTTTACTTTTCTGTTTTGTAACATAAGAGATACTCGTAGTTCCTTGATGTCTCCGATCCCTAAGGTACCTAATTTTTATTCTACAGTAATTAGATATTGAACAATTTATTCCCGTGGGATATTGAGTGCAATTGTTTTGAATTTTAAATAAATAAACAAATATTTTTACCTGTTTCTGGGCGATGCGTCTAGATGACCTTAAAATCTACTAATATCGCTCTAAATAGACATATTGACTGATGCATAATTAATTATAATTAATTCGTAGTCTAATAAATATTGTTTGCGACAATATAAAAGTGACTTACCATCACTTCGTTTGGGTATTCTCCTAGATGCCTTACCATATGCCTAGCTGCTTCTTCAGGTCATGGTCTTTCTGTGTTCTAAATATCATATAAATCCGCCCAGTAGTTTTTACGTAAAGGAGTACTAAACATATATAAACTTTCGCAAATATAAAAGTTTAATAAAGTTGTGTTTAATATATGTTATATTCTTGGAAAAAGTTATCCTATTTCAAAGTACTTTCAGATTATATTACTTACAATTGTAGTTTATTCGTCAAGTGAAATGGAAATTTGTTTGTAGTAAGTTAAACGCAATATACTCGTACAGGGATGAGAACGATTTTTGAATATGTTACATCTTACTTTGTTATCTTATTTGATATTGGATTGATCTAAATTCTAAAATATTCGCTAATTATAATCACTTTACTATTATAAATGCTATTTATTTGTTTAGGATGCAATGGCTGACCTGATATGGAAGAAATTAAAATTTAGAACTACGACCAAGACCGACCTGTAAGCTTTGTGCTATTCTTTTAGTAATAAAATTTGCCAAAAGGTAGCACTGATTGTTTACTATAACATGAATACATACACATTACATATACCAGTATACTTATGTAAAGACAAGTAGACGTTTTTATATCAACTTGCAAAATACACCTGAGGATGCACCCGAGCAGAGCGTGGGTCGTCCAAAGTCGGTAGTAATCGAATAATACCTATAGTGATACTAGCAGCTCACCCTCGCTACGCTCGGTTTCGCCTCTAGAAAAACAAAGACAAATTATCTCTCTGGAACCGTATATTTTTCCGGGATAAAGAGTAGCCTATGAGTTATTCCAGACTACAATCTATCTCTGTGCCAAATTTCATCCAGATCCGTTCAGCCGTTCTGGCGTGAAAGAGTAACAAACACACATCCATACATACATTCTTACAAACTTTCGCGTTCATAATATTAGTAGGATTATAGTTTTATAACTGTAATAGATAGATTGATTCTTATAATTGTAAAAATGAAAATCATTTAAAAATGATTTATTAATAAAATTGTATATTATACTTAAATATCTACATATGTCTAGGTTATGTACTTATTTGTTGCATTAAAGGAAATTATGTGTGTTCGTAGATAGAATAATAGTCAAATATCGTCAAAATATCGTCAGTGATAACCGTTTACTAAATTGGTTCAGCAGGAACGCTCTTGTACGAGAATCTGATATGTATTCATTCAATTTATATATTTAGGTAAATATAATAATAACAAATGAAGGAAATGTTATGTTTTCTTTTAATTAGGATTATTATATTTAACGACACATTTGGCTCAGTTTGTAGGGTTGCTTGTTGTGGCAGCGGTCGCGGGTTCGTGTCCCGCTGGGGGCCTCCTTTTGTGTGATAAGCACGAATGTTTGTACTCCAGTCATGTTTTATAATATGTATGTATTTTAAGTTATATATGTGTAGTGTATCAACTATCTGGTATCCATAACACAAGCTTTATAGCTTACCATGGAACTAGATGGCGCTGTGTGTTAATGTCACAATATATTTATATTTATTACGAGGACTCTATGGAATAAATTGTATAATGCATATTGTTATGTATATATTTTTATACTATGGCAGTAGTACCTACAGAAAACTTCTGTAAAATATTGTTGCATTCAGCAAATAATTTTAACATATTATGTTATTATCTAATGAAAGAATAATATAAAGTAAATGTAAATAATAGCTGTATGATGTATGTTGTTAATGAAGTTGATAACACAAATCACAATAATATTATATACAAACAAGTAACAAGACAAACAAAAACAAATCTATCTCACGGGAACCGTACCTTTTTCTGGGATGAAAAGTAGCCTATTTTTTATTCTAATGTATGAACTATATTATTGTAAAGTTTCATTAAAATCCAATCAATAGTTATTGTGTACTAAGCTGTATAAGTTACTATAGTTTTTTTAAGTATCCCTTGGGAGTACTTTAATTTTCCGAGATGAAAAGTACCTAAGATGTTGACCGGGAATATAAGGTACCACCATACAAAATTTAATTTAAATCGGTTTAATAGTTTCGGAGATTAGCCCGTACAAACAGACAAACCGACAAAGAAACAAAAAAAAAATGGATTAGTTCTGTTTCTCTTCTTACGTCCCCCTGACTTGGTTTTTAGCATTTTTTTCTATGTACAGACATTCGATCTCTACAGTTTTATTATATGTATAGATATTATAAATAAGAGGCAAACACGAAGAAAAAAGTTTTTGCCAATTTTAATGTATGGTACTTCAACAAAGTACTTATTAATTGTTAAGGGCACTTGCCCTTTTTAAGAGGAAAAGCTAAAAAAATGCTTACACTGTCGGGCTTTTAACGAAAAACTTCAGTCACTCCTCTGATTGTGATAAGTTGACGTTGAAAAATGACCAGGAAATACCTACCTATATATAAAGGAAAATGTACTATATAAAAAATGTTAGCTTCGATTTGACTTATACTCCATAAGAAGATTATTGAATGTATATTATGTATATAAAAAAAAACAAAAACCATTTTTTTAAAAGAAACTGCAAAGTATTAGACTTATACGAGTTTACTTTGCAATTTTTTTTGCAATTTTCTTGCTTTGCAACAGATATTCTCCTATTGTCACTATATTAAACAAGTATTATATAACAACACTTAAATGATGTGAAAATGTCATGGTTACAATTTCAATTTTAAATTAGCATAAACAATTGTAGAATACCATCTTATTTAAGCCCGAGAATTTATTGAGCGCTAAATTGTGACAAAAGAAATGACATTTAAAAATCAATATTATTCCCGTATGAAATATATATATATATGAAAGTCTTTTCATTCTTTGGGTTAATATATAGCCTCATGTAGGTTAATATATGACACTCAGAAAGAACGTGGCTTTCTTTTGGTAGGAACTGAGATACTTTACCATAATACAAAGTAAGGACAAACAAATACACGTCCACACTTAAAATATTAATTTGCCGAGACAACAGTTGTTTGAGAGAAAATCGTAATTTTAGATTCCATTACATCTAATTCCTATAACATTAGGTAATGGTTCAGGTTTCTCAGGTTTCCGAAGGTCAGCAATGGAAGTAGATTTATTAGGAACTATATTACAACAATACCACACCGTAGAGACATGTATTTGTGCTTGTTGCTGGATGTCGCGGGTTCGATTACCGCTCGTAGCAAAATTCAACTAGCTACCTAAGAGTAGTCAAAAGATACAATCAGAAAGGGTGGAGGGATAGGCAATCGATAGGATAGGCTTCAGTGGTGAAGGGTCCATACTTAAAATTATTTTGCTATAATTTTACATACGTTTAATTTTTAAATATATAAATGTTCTTTTGGAAATGTATACATATATAATAATAGCTTTATTTCTTTCTGCATTATAATAAGTATATAAAAATTGTATATTTTTGGAACGGCTTACCTCTGCTAAAATTTCATCCTTCGCCACTGGTAGGCTTAGGGATTAATATTGGGGCAAACCCTTCTCTACGGGTACGAAAACATTTTGTCCTTGCAGAATAATAAAAAAAATTAATTAAGATATAAATAGTATTTTTTTGTTTGTTGACTAAAATTACAAAGCGTTATTTTTTTCGTATTACAATTTTTCGTATGTTTGAACAAGAAAATTATGTTGACATAACTTCATGTAATACAATTATAATTTAATGAAGAGGTTGCGAACCTTTACTCTATATGTACCATTGTACGTCAATATTATTCCTCACCTTAGGAAATAAGGAAAGTTTAAGATCTTAATATTCATTACATTTTTTTTTAAACCGAATTTATTTATATTTATAATTATCGTAATATATGTAATCAAGGCCCAAAGTATAGTGCGTACTATATCTAATTTGCAAACTTTTAAATAAAAGGTTCTTAAATTAAATTATATTCTATAATTTCTCATAATAAGATTTGATATAAAATTATAATTATTTAAAACAAGACATATTGAAGTTTCAAGTTACCAAGCTTTAGGTAATAATCTAATATAATAGCTATCAGTATCTGGGCGACAGAGCTTCGCTCGTAGTTTATTTTTTGTTATAGGTATCGTAATTTTAGATACATAAAAAAAAACAAAAGTAAAAACTTTGTTTCCTTTAAAACCGCATGAGCACTCGAAAACACGCGTTTTCCCAGACATAAGACTCTCTATCTAGATCAATTTTCGCGTCCGGAAACTCCACATGCCAAATTTCAGCGAAATCGTTGGAGCCGTTTCCGCGCTCGCCGGTATAAATAAATAAATATACAAGAATTGCTCGTTTAAATATATTAGATACATACATTCTAACCTATCCATACTTTTGAGGTGCGAATTCAATAAAAAAAGATACGAATAGATTTTAATAATTATTTAAATTTTGTTTGATATTTATTAAAAATAAATATATTTTTTTATATGTAAATATTTATTTATTCATTTATTATGCTTATGAGGTTTTAGGGTGGATTTAGCAGTTTTACCATTACAAATTCAATGATAAATTTGAAAGTCATTTAAAATATATCTTTGGAGTAAAAAAAAACTTATGTCAAAAGTAATTCATTGCTATTTAAATAATTAATATAAACCATTTCGTCTTTTTCACCATTAACGAGAACTCAATTAGGCTCTACCTTTCAAATATTTACGAAGACTGATTGGTCTTTATCCTTCAAATCAATTTCAAGTTTACTTTGATGTTGTATTTCTTTCTTGAGATACTTACTCATTGCCTCGGTGGTGTAGTGGCTAGCATGTACGACATCCGGCTGTGCTAGGTTCGAGTCCCGTGTCGTGCCAAGTTTAGTTATTGATCTTTCAGTTAAGAAAGTCTCAGTAACAGCCCAGAGTTGAGAAGTTGGATGTGACTCACCCCCGTGCCTCGATGAACACATAAAGCCGTCGGTCATGTCGGTCTGTTCTCTCATCATTCGTATCGAATTATCGTCCCATTAGAATTTGAGAGTGAATGAAATAGAGTGAACTAATGTCTGCGCGCACACATTTATAACAATATAGTGTATATAAGAAGAAGTGTATAATATTAGTATGTTATAGTGTATATTATTATTAGTGAAAAATACATTATATATATATATATATATATATATATATATATATATATATATATATATATATATATATATATATATATATATATTTCCTTTCTATATTTTATTATATATTTTTCCTTTCTTTCCAAAGTTATGTATTATATTTATTTATCTACTCTAGGTAAATATTGCGTCCGCTATACACTCATAAGGGTATACAGCGATCATTTTTTTCATCGTGTGCTAACACCGTTGCTAAGCAGAGATTGCTCATTTAGCTATATGGCTGCCATACATTTTATAAGTCCTATATAATATATTTTTTTTCTATATCTATACATATAATTAAATTCTAACTAAGTCGAATCTGTACATTAAATATTTTTTGGAAAATCTTATTGAAATAGACATTATTATCGATAAAGAGGCTGAATCTATAGTTTTTAGAATTTTTGCCTGTCTGTCCTTCTGTCTGTCTGTTTGTTACCGCATCACGGAAAAACCACTGGAGGGATTTTAATGAAATTTGGTATGGTGATAGCTGGTTATCTGGGTCAACATAAAGGATACTGTATACCGCGGGAAAAGTCTCATTTCTGAGAAAAAATACAAAAACTACAGTGGAAGAGTATACTAATATGTAAAACCTAAGAATTTGGTTTTTGGTAATCTTTAAACAATCTGAACGCAGGCGGAGCCGCGGGCAATGCTAGTTCATTTAAAAAAAAATAAACTCATAATTTCGGCAGACCACAAGGAAGAGAACTTCCTTTCAAATATTTCAGGACAGAACGGTAAATAAATAGGTTCTTAAAGGGTCGGCAACGCGCATGTGATGCCCCTGGTGTTGCAGGCGTCCATAGGCTGCCGTAACCTCTTACCATCAGGCGGGCCGCATGCCTGATTGCCACCGACGTGGTATAAAAAAAACTACAAAATGAGTACTATACAATAGTTTCTTCATTAGTTTTTAACCAACTTCCGTCGCCCACTGCTGGACTAAAGCGTTCCCAATACCCAGCTATCCCGATCTTGTGCAGCCTACATATGTACATCTTTTACCAGCTACCTTTAGAAGTTAGTCCATCACGCTACTGGGTTCTACACTACGTTTGTATAAACAAGATCTCAACTCTAACAAATCGCTCACGTCAGCTCCGTTGACCCTCAATACGTCTGGACTCTGGATACATGGCGATCCTCTTCCACTGCTTGCTAATCTAGCTTAATCGCTGTCTGCGAAAAAAAATTATAAATAAATGGACAATAAGTTGTAATAGAAAAAAATCGTTACATGCATGCACCAGTTATTTTTTTAAATTTTAAACTAATATTATAAAAGTTTATGTGTAAGTTTGTTACTTCTCAATGAAATAGAGTAAAATTCAAATTAAAGGTAGCTTATAATATGTACGTATCTCTTATTTTTATATATAAACTGGCCTAACATTGCCTCGAGCAAAGTTTACTAAAGATATAAAATTTTAATACCTCTATGTAAGTACCGTTTAATACAAGTATTTTGTTCATGTCTCTCCCATACATAATACATGTTATCATTTCAAAACTCTGGATCTACTGAAGAAATTGAACACAATAATACTTGTACCAATAAAATTAATGTTATTTTCATGCAGTACATGTCCCAGACTAAAATGAATATAAATTTCATTTTTAATCTCTTTCCCTCCATATATTCACAGCTACCTATTACGTGTAGTTTTAATAGCAACGTGTAACGTAATTAAAAAACAGCCACAACGGAGGTCATAACTTTAAATTAAGCTTTTTCTAGCAAAGTTTGTTTTATAACAAATGCTGTAAAATCCTTAGACCAGCCCGCGGCCCCTCAGTGAATGGAAAGAAAAATCATACATCGCTTTAATTTTAAAATAATATGTATAAGACAACAACTAATAATAATAATATAGTTTCATTTAAAATGTTAAATATTCGCGTATATATAAGAAAGACCTCAAACACCGCACATGAATAAATTAATTAAAAAAACAATATCAAAATCTGTCGGGTCAACTCATATTAAATAATTTTTAAAGTAGTTTTAAGACACTTCCGTCTCCTTTATATAAACGTATCAGGTAATAATGTGCAATTACGGTCAATTGTTAAAGGAGGTGGGATTTATGGGGAACTTTCATTTAACTGAACTTTACTACCGTTTAAACTACTGCAGGCTAGAAGGTACTATATTACATTTTACACTGTAGGCCAGTATATGGACTTTTGTAACCTTGTTTAGAAGCTGAGTGTTTTACATGTAATGAATTTAAATTATATTTGTGAATTTTAAAGAAAAAATAATATTATTATTTAATATCTACATTGTACATAAGTCTCTATTCCGTCAACTAAACTCCGGTAGGACGACGATTCCACAGGGCTGGTGAGAGATCCAGCGCAGGACCGACAGACTTTTTTACATGAGGAAGTAGTACCGCCAACCTCCTAATTCCGGGCATGTATGGTGAATCTCTTGACATAAAAACTTAATTTCTATACTTGGCCGACCCGGTACTCAAACCCAGGTCACAAGAATCTGTAGTTGTATATGCTCGGCATTATGCCAAAGAGACATTTTAAAACATAATTCGTTCAATTTGTATGATCCTTTTGTAACATTGTATTTCTAAGACTCTTTATTCTTTTGACCGAAGAGGTCTTGACCGACTTCAAAGAGACGGACGTATTCAATCGGTTGTATTTCATTTTTTCACAAAAATTTCCACTCTCAAGGGTGAAACCATTAGTTTTGAAGATAAATATGATGTCGACTTACATTTTTTGTTAAAAAGTTTTCCATCTTAATAATTTTGTAAGGTTTGAGCTTTCTCGACATTCCTTAATGAATTTTGTAGTCGACCTCCATTATGTAAATTTCTGACAGCTGTACAAAAAGGACAACTCATGTTATATCTATTTTTTTATACTGGACTTAAAAAGTTTATTCAATTCATATCATTAGCAATAACATTAAAATGACTCCAATATTCTTTTACTGTTTATTTTTATATACGAGCATAAGTAAAGGCACTACTGATGAATGAACTATTACTATTTGCTAGTATTCTTTAGGGTCTGTACCTACTTACATTGCTACTCCCAACAGGTTGCTGTTTTTATTATTGATTTTTTTGTTTTTATTTAACTTTCAAAGAGGATTAATACAGAGTTTCAATTTTACTTAGTCAAAAAAAAACATTTTTCATAAAATTTTGGCACTTCCTTTAATTATTTTAAAGATATAATATTATGAAATTTCTTATTAATTAAACCTATTCTATATACATATATTTATTACTTTATAGATATCTGTATGGACTATCAGTAGCCTCACGTCCATTTCATCTGTGCGTAGATGAAAAAGACAGTTATTCAGGATAAATCTATACTAATATTATAAAGAAGAAAGATTTTTGTTTGTTTGTTTGTACCGAACAAGCTCCGAAACTACTGTTCCGATTTAGATGAAATTTGGTAAGAAGATAGTTTGAGATCCTGGGAAGGACATAGGATAGTTTTTATACCGGAAATCATCTCTTAAGATGGTGAAAATGGGGATGAAAGTTTGTATGGGGAAGCAACCAAAATATTTTTTAAATTTTACTTCACTTTACTTTTTACTTTAGAACCAGATAAAATAATATATAAAACAACTCTGCACTGATTCGAACACTATTGTCAGATTTTAAGTATTCAGACTACCAAATATATACATAAAATTGCGTCATAATATCAAGTGTCCAAAATTAACTTCCAATATAAAATGTCACCTTGTGATGCTTGGTAACGTAATTACTGAGCAAACATTTACTGTTATACGAGTACTTATGATGGAGCACTCAACCGTAGTTTAGAGGTCAATATGTCGGTCGAGATAAGTACGGCTAAGCTTCTAAAGCTTAATTTGCATTAGCAATTAATATTAACTTCGATCAACAATACTACTAGATAACGTGTCATATACAAAATCAAAGCTAACTTCTGTCCGCGCGAATATGTACGAGTACTTATACAGCTACATTTGTATACTAACGAACCAAGATCAAGTCTTATAATAGTTTTATTTTCAAGCTAATCAACACCATAGCACCTTGTAATAAAGTCACAAATCTTCTAATTATCATCATACACTTACGATCATTTCGTAAGTTTTATAATCTTTATTGTAAAATCAACCTTATATAAAAAATCATAAAGCACTTTTTCCCGTTCTTGCTTTGTGTTATGTTTTGTTTCTGTTTGCTTCTTTGTATTGGCGCATATATTGGCCGACCTGGGCCAACGTTCTTAGCGGATTTAAAATTGTTCAAAATTTCATTTTTATATTATTTCGTAGGTAAAATATTAAAATATTGACTTAATCTACATGTAGATATTTACCGAAAATAAGACACTCCGTCTGAAAAATTTCTTCTTCGCGCATTATTTTTGCAACTTTTAAATATATATTGCGACAATGTGAACGCGATCACGTTGGCAGTGTTTCAATAGAACTAATCGAAATATACGCTCACTTTGCAAGTGAGCTGATATTTGCCGTGACAGATTTCTTACGCCGACACAATATTTAGTAGTATTGTTGATCGAAGAATACTAAGATTAAAAAAATACCTTTTCGGATTTTTTCGCGGATTTATTTTAATTTTTGGTTGGTTTCGAATGCTTCACAGCAAGTTTTAGACATCTCACAGGTTTCAAAATAAATCCGAGCAAAAATCCAAAAAGATAGTTTTATTTAAAATGTCAAATATTCGAGTAAATCTAAGAAAGTATTATTGTAGCTCCTTAGTGAGATAATTTAAATGTAAATATTGAATTGTCATATTCTGCCCACCTGAGCCTAAAGTGCAGTAATA